GTCATTTCGGGACTAACATATGGTTTAATTTAATTTCAATAATTCGCTTGCGCATAGGGGTCTTTAGCAGTGGGTGGAAACCGGAGGACCCGGAGAAAACCCATGAGGTTGGACAGGCGAGCCCACTCCTTGTCACGTACAACCGGGGATTCGAAACCACGCCAGTCGACTCAATGACAGACTTTATGATACAGTGCGCGCACGTTAACCATTCAGCCATCCAACCCCTCATATATTATCGGACCTTCGAACTAAAGATAAAAACACCGCATATAATGTTAATATCTCAATTAAACGACCAATTTGAACTTAAAGGGCCCATCCCAATTTTAACAAAGTCTCAGAAATAAAAGTCTGCGCCAAAATATAGAGGAATGGTGTATATACCTTGTCTAAAAATTTCAGCTCAAAATATTGAGATGTTTGGATGTGAACGTCAAAACCGCTTATCCCGACACGTAAGCCTTTTAAGATCTTGGGTCAATTTTTTCGTTGGGTGACCTGATAATTTATTGCCGTTCCTTTAGAGGTCTAAATTGTGTATGACCCACGTACTGTATTTGATAACGAAAGGTAAATTTCGCCTACACGTTATTTTTATAAAATAAAAGTCAGGTTTTATCCAAACACTGTATAATGTAGTTTGGGACACCTGTCTCCATTTCCAGATGAAGAATGACCGGTTAAGCTGTTTGAAAACGTATCACATATATTGAGTTAATTGCTCGGCCGTAAGGTAGGGAATATTTCACACAAAATTAAGCAGATTTATTCTCCAAAATATAATCGAGATTGGCCTTTTAATTTAGATTTTAAAAAAGAAAACCTATATCGCCTTTTAATTTAGATTTAAAAAAAACTTATATCCATACAGCAAATTCTAACCATGGATATATTTTTTCTAATTTCAGATGACGAGTATCAAATTATTTGTTTCATTGTTTTGAAATAACAATAAAATAATGATTGTAACATCAATTTGTCTGGTTCTGTGTTTAATCCCAGTAAAAACTGTTTTTCCCATCTTATATACAGACAATTTAGATTCATACACTTTGTGAGCCATTCCCATATTCGCTAACGTGGAGGTCCACAATCTGTTTCACAGAGTATTACGAAAGTCTTCTCGCGGCCTAGCGAATATTCACTGCGTATCAGTGTGGGAGGTCCAGTGTTCGATTCCTGCATTGGCCGAGAAAGTTCATTTGCATTTCCCAAATTTGGTATAACAAATAATCAACAAATATTTAACATACATTATGCAAGAGATAAATCTGCCTATTGCAGGCCTTTCTTTAGGCCAGGGCCCTTATTCACGAAAACTTAAACTAAGATACAACCGAAATTTTCAGAAATACTGCAACTTCATTGGATATATGCAAATTAATTTTACTGGTCAGCCAATCGAATTGCAGTATTTCTTAAAATTTCGGTTGTAACTTAGTTTACGTTTTCGTGAATAAGGGCCCTGAAATGTTATCTAAATTATTAATTAGACATTATTAACTTATCCAGACCATAATCAACTATCGATGTCATCGCTAGCCTGCGATATTTACAGGATTAGAATCCGATTTGCTGCTCATGAAATCGATAATCGAGACTATGTTTTTGTCGTACCGACTTTAGTAATGATGATCGAGCTAGGTTAGGCCGAAAATTGAATTGCTAAATTCTCGGTTCAGAGTGGATCAATTTGACTGAAATTTTCACCAAATACCCTTTACATTATCTGCCGGCTCTTTATCTAATCTCCCATAACGTATCTTTAAGGGAAATACGTACCAGTTTTGATTTAGTTAGTTGATTAAGGAAATGAATCTGTTATGGGCCAGCCTGTGAAACTTTTAGTAGGGGGCATGGGGTGGGTGGATAGAAGGAACCATATTTTCCGTGGTCTCGTGCAGTACGACAAAGGACAATTTTGGCCCATGAACAGTGGCTTAAATTGTCCCCCTAGGCTCCTTCGAATTCTAAATTTTAGTGGTATAAAGCGAACAATATGAAAAATATTTTATCCCGCAAAATGAATTGCAAGAAAATCTGGAACCTTTAAAAACACAATGCTCATTTTTGGTTCTCTAACTCAAACTGCAGTTCCAGAAAATTCGACCCACTAGGCGCCACTTGCCTTTATCTTGCAAGATTTTTCCACAGTTATTTTGTGATTTTAATCTCGCGACTGAATGAGACTTTTACCATCAGCTGATTCACAGTTTTACACGGTGCGGAATTTGATTATGAACTGAATGCAATTCGCATAATCTAACCCCTTTATTCCTAGTCTCGGTCACCCAGAACCTCCTAGTCTTCAACGTAAAGTCCATTGCCCATGCGTAACAGGGAGTTCGGTTTTTGATGTGGTTGATTATACAATATCTTTGGCCAAGTCAAGTAAGAGTTAGATATGCACCTTCCCACAATAAATCCCATAATTCTTGCATAAATATCAACAAACATAAATCGTGACAACAAATTAGTATTAATTTAAAACACACAATATGACCCATGAAGAGAGAAATTTTACAATAAAAAAAATTAAGAGTGTTGGATATTGAACTGGCAATGCAATCAAATGGATTTTTTGAAATGGCATTTTTAAATTAATTTCATGGGGGTCAACATCTTGTTTTAGGACTAGTTACCTCCCTTAGATTTTGCCTTGATAATGTGAAAGACCAGATAATCTAGCCGATGACCTATTATCCTCAAATGTTGACAACACATCCAGACTAATATTCATAGAATATTTTTCTGGGTGATAGAGTCTACTTTATTCTACCCTTAAGTAACGTTAACCGAGCAACACACACTTGTCTGCGATATCACTTCGGTGGAAGCGGACGTTAAATAAAGCTATTCCACACACAATACACATTGGATCTATCACGTCACACCGGTTAGTGCAGAAAAACAGTAGTTAAACCCAATTTTATTGTTTCATTCAGATCAAAAATAAAACATTATAGAGATAATATCACCTTTATATCTGTAATAATATTTACAAACATTTAAAAACAAATATTTATAACCACAATTTATTAATGAAATTCATATAATTATCACAGATTAATTATCACTAGAAATTGAAATATCATTATTTCTACAAATCCTATGTATATATAGCAGGAGGTTAACGTTCATTCCCACCATTAGGGATCTAACAAACTGGTACTGATCAACATTTTATAACTTTGGGATTTTCAAGTTCAAAAGGTTAATTTTTTCTTATACCTAAGAAATGGCATGTTCAAAGGGTTAATCACATTTCATAATAGAAAGAGTAACATTTTCAAAGGGTACATTTAATACCAGAAGGTGGTGAATGTATCAAACGGTCATTAAGAGTAACACAATCAACACATCAAATCAAATTGAGCAGACAGGCCTCTATGTAAGTAATAAATATACATTACAGAATTATTAAGCCAACAATAAGTAATAAGGTAAAAGACATTTTATACCTGAAGGAATTGCATGTTTAAAGGTTAATCACATTTTATACCAGAAGGAATTGCATGTTGGAAGGGTTAGTCACATTTTATAACAGAAGGCAAAGAATGTTTCAAAAATTAAATTAGGTTTAATATAATCACTACATATAACATCAAATTGAGCAGACAGTCATTTAAGTAAATATACATCACAGAAGTAATTAGCCAACAATAAGTAATAATATGTCAAAAAATATAACATCAGGTAATAATAAGCCAACAACACATAATACAATTTCAAAAAATTAATAGGCCAACAATATGAAAATCTGATATTGAATTGAGCAGATACATGTAAGAAAATATAAGAAATAAAACAATATATATTATATAATTAGTACTTGTACATTGAGAAAAATGTTACAGTACAGTAAATTGAGCAAGATAATTTTATACTGAGCAGGTATGTGATTTTGATTAAGGGGGAATAACCAAGAATAAACAGGTATCTGGAGGTAGACCACCATTAACTTCCCCCATTGACTTCAATGTTAATTCTGGCCTCTTTGCCCACCTCCAACTTTTCCCAAAATTTTCGTTGGGCTGAATGCTTTTCACTACAGACAGAGGAACAAATGGTCATGTCTTTGCACTAAAATTTGTATGAGGTTGACCACCAAAATTTTGAGATACACAAACTTGAAGAATACTAAAAACATGTAACTAGTTGCCGTGCATATCACCGTAGAAAACCTGATAACCCTGTTATTCTTCCGCCTCAAAATCATGAATATTTACCAAAACCTGACAGAAAATGTTAATTCAAACCCTCTTCGTCCATTCTAGACCAAAAAATCAACAAAAATGGGCATGCAAATGGGGAAAAAAGACAGAGAGAAAATTGCTATAAATAGACGAACTGGGTACTGAGATGGTGAAATTTAATGGTGGTCTGCCTCCTATATGGCTTAAAGACACTAGAGTGCAAATTTTCATTCTTACCAATATTATAGATAGGTGTAGAATTTTACTAAAGTCCTCATCAAAGTAACTATTTTAAAGGGAAACCATGTGCTAATCCTTGCCGATTACAATGTTTATATCATTCATATAATGTAATAACAGGGACTGCACACATTTTTTGTCAAAAATTTATATTTTACGAAAGCTTCTATCATGGAATCTTATGATTTTTAGGAATTTTTTTAAATCAAATTTTATGATGTTTTTATCAAATTGTATGATATTTTTACTATGTTTCCATCACAATTTATGACTTTTTTTTTATGTTTTTACCATTATCAAATATTTACTAACAGTAATAACTTATCCATGGTCCATTAAGTAGTGTTCAGCCAGTGTTATGCAGATAAGAATGTCCCCACCAGTAGCACTGGTGGTATTAATGGTCACAGTCATCTTTTCCTATGTTCATATAGCATACCCACATAACACTGTCAAATAGAAAATGAAAGAGCAGCAAGCTTGGGGTCATAAAATGCCTTGATGATTTTCTTATTCACGTCCAGATTTACTAGTATAGAAATTTATTATTGGGGGTAGCGATTTATTGGTTGAAAATTTTTCGTCTCAAATTATGAGAAATAGTGAAATTTTATATTTTTTATGATTTTTTTCTCCATTTTATGATAATTTTATGTGAAATGACAAAATTTTATGAAAATATAAATGTTTTTATATTGTACGGTCCCTGGAATTATATTATTCAGTCTGATATGTTCATCCTGAAATATCACTTAGAAAAATACAACCATAGACATTTTCATATTTATAAGGTTCATGATAACATATCGCACATTAGAAGTTTAATCCAAGCATACAGCGATATGCTTTTAGAAATTTTATTGACATTAGTCAAGCAAACAAAATTCAGAAACAAATAAAATGAAATGAGGTTTAACGTCCTACTGTTCTGCTCCGAGTGGGTTAATGAAGAGACTGGGCTAATGAAGACGGAAACTTCAGAAACAAAACATAAATCAGTAATTAATAGAACAGAATTAAATGCTTACAATAATAAACTCTATAAAACATATCAAAATCTTTATCAAACATGTGAACATTTAACAATACAATGTCACATTTATTATAATATGGTAAAACTTTCAGAAAATCATGGTTAAAAATATTAATATAAACCCATTAAAATTTGTATACAATATCAGTAACTTGAAAAAATGATTAAATCATGTAAAAATCATTATATATACCGGTAGGTAGATAAACTATCAAAATAAGAACATCTTTATAAAAGAAATTGGAAAATGAACAAACAGAATGGAACTGATTCAGTCGCATTTAGCAACGGAACTGGATAAACACAGGACACAATTCTAATACAAATACTGAGGAACTCAGATACAAAATTTTAAGTTATTTTAAGACTTTCTTTCACTGCTTATCAAAAGGAACTGACAGTACCAATCATATATAATTATCATCCAAATAAATTTTAATTGCAAATTTTTAATGTACTTTCAAGGAATTTGTTAAAAGGAATGATCAACATTCACTTATCTTATTACCATCTATCTCAAGACTATTTCAAAGCATAGACCCATTTCTTTTATAAGTAGAGACATGTGGTCATAATCCCTCACACTTCCCTTACCCCACATCCTGATTTACATAACTAAAAATCTACATATTGCATCCACTTGACATTGCATCCAAACAGTAAAATACCAGGGGACGAATTCTCCAAAACCAAAATATTTTTAGAATGCAGCTAAAATTTGTACTAAGATTTTAAATTCCAGCCAATGAAAAGGCTAAATCCTTAAAACCATAAAATTTTAAATTCCAGCCAATGAAAAGGCTAAATCCTTAAAGTATTTAATTCCAGCCAATGAAAAGGCTAAATCCTTTAAATATTTTAGTTTAAGTTTTCTGATACTGAAATTTCACTGGAGTTTTGATTTTAATGTTTTTTTGGTTCTTCTTGAGGAAGAGTTAAATGTAAGGGTGTGGCTGGTTTCCAGGAATCCAATTTCTCCACGCAATTTATTTCTTCTCTTAAAATATTATTTCTCTCTTTGCTTCGAAAACTTTCACTAAACAAACAAAAACACATTCATAAATAATGTAGGTGTTTATGTCAAAGTATCATCATCTATACTAATATAAAATTTGTGACCGTCGTGTGTCTGTCTGTTCAGGGTTGGCGGCTACACTAGGACTGTCCTGAGGCTGAAATTTGTTGTATAGGGGTAGCTAAGACCGGGGAGTAACATAGGCTAGGTGGCAATAGCCTTCAACTTTCATTATCAGAGTTATGCTACTTCCGTTTCATGGGTATACCCATGCTATGCTGGATCAACGCCTAGTATAAAATAAAATGGGGTTTAAAGTCCTAATTTTCTGAAGTGAGCTATAATGGAAATTTCCTCCCAGAATAGCATCATTACTGTCTATTCTTCATTGAATCTCAAAGATGCTTTACTTGCACGTCGACATATAACATGACCTTGTTTTTTTGTTTTTCCATCCCATCAGAACAACTAGACCCTGTTCCTTGCCAGGCCATTCAAAAATGAATCAATTCCATTCTGTATTTACATTGAAATTTCATCGATCTATGCTGCTCGCTATGTAATAATCCCACCAACATTTTGTTGGTTAAAGCGTGCACGTTGAATCAAAATGTTTGTCTTTAAATCAAGTATGGTTTCAATTCCCCGCTTGTACGTGACAAGGAGTAGGGTGAGTTTTCTCCAGGTCCTCCGGTTTCCTCATGCTGTTAAAGACCTGTGTGTGCAAACGAATTACTGAAATTTAATTGAACGATATCTTAGTCCCGGAATGACCTAGTTGGTATCGAGTGGATATTAAACCCCATTTCTCTCTCTGATTGTTCTTGTTTGTGAGTGTAATTATTCCATGACTGGAACTACTTACCATTCTATGGGTGGTAATGACTGTAGTGGAATAAATGTATCAGGTTTGTTTGCAGATGAAGGATTTCTAAAAAAAAAAAATAAGATAAAATAAAGTAAATAAATTCTAAATGGACTTTACTTTACACCTCAGTAAGCCAGATTTATGACTGCATTTTTAACCCTCATTCTGACTTAGTGTCAAATCTGGGATATGGACATAATGCCAGGGGATAAAATGGCAGATTTATCATTGGGTTACAGTAAAGGGTTTGGTCCATATGTACTGTGACATTTTGCCATATCTGTCCTTTTGTCATGGTTAGTCATTTATCAACACCCCGAAGAACAAAAAATCAAATTTTTTGGGCGTCAGTATATTCTGTGTACCGAGATCAGAGTAATAACCACTAAAGAAAGTGAATCATGGAGTCAGGCAAGAAAATTAAATCTACTTTACATGTGAAACAATTAGAATTTTATTTCTGGCGAAATCGACGAGGGTTCTTTGCTTAATAAAGAAAAGAAAATTTACCCTTGTCGAAACATCGCCAGAAATAAACTTCTAATTAACTTAATTGCATTTAATTGTGTCATGTGTTATTCTCAAACAGTTACTATATAGCTGTTTAAACAATCTACTTTACATACCCGAACTGTACAATAGGTCTTGTGGAACCGGCAGCATGAAAACCAGGAGAATATTCAACAGCTTGATAAATTTTATCTCCAGGTGCCGCCTCAGGGATTGTATTACGTCTTTGTATTCTATCTTCTGTAAACAAATTCACAGGCAATTATTGAAAGCTGCTGATTGTTTCGTCTGATTAGACCGGGCCATTGCTTCAGGAATATGCTGATTGTTATTTGACATGTGACACTCACCAAGTGGCATCGTTCCTTCAACTCTATTAACCCCTGGGTCCATTCACGGGGGGAGACAAATATTTAAATTATCCACCCTTCAGATTCATGCTGTCAAAATATTCCATAAATAAAAAGCGAGTGGGCAAAGGGAAGTAACTCGCATTTTGTTGCAACCAAGATTGCTGAATCATTGTTGTAAACATTGTCAAAATATTTTAGGACATCAGTTCTTTGATAATACATTTCTTCCAAACTTTCTGATATTCGAGCATACAAGCTGCTATAATGTGGTGAACGTAAACAATGGGGCTAAGATGTAAACTGTTTTTGATTGGTTCGTAGAATAAACCTACATGGCCAATGAAATCATTATGGGTAGATAATTTGAATTTGTGAATGGACCCAAGAGGTTAGTGGAGTAAAAAAGAAGCTGCCACTGGGGATACCGAGGATGACTACAAAAAAATGGTTAAGTACCATTCAGTATTTACAAAAATATGATGATTATAAAATTTCGGCAACATTTGGTAACAACTGCAGATGATATAAACAATTCTGTCAAATACTGCTCACCTTTTCTGTTTTTTCCTAATAACATGGAATGTGTTAGTTCTCGTGATGATGTCATAGTGGCTTGATGATTGCCGTTAAAATAGCAGCGTAATCCGATACGATGATGATCTGGATCCAATAACCACTCTGTATCACTTCTTCTATATGTAACTAAAAATAAATTAAAAGCATAAAATGAAATGAGTTTTTTTTTTTATAATGCATTTCCACCTACTCTTCGTCCTGTGTACACACTGGTGTACACGTAAAAGATCCTTTGGCAGTTGGAATTCGATATAAGAGCAGGCCTTAGCGCCATTGTTCCGGAAAAATTTCCCTCACAGCACAATGTATGGCCCAGTCGGAGGAGAACAGTAGGATGTTAAACCTCCTAAATTTAAAATATAAAAGTCAATAAAGAGTCAAAATAACCAACAATCAGATATTCAGATAATTTTGTGTTTGTTTTCATGGTTCAAATTTCATTTATTTGTCTTCACCACAGTAAGATCTGGAAGAGTTGTGCACTGATTTATAGATAATCTATGTTCCTGTCAAATTGACATCCACCATGAGCCGGTCATATCTGAGTAGAGTGTTATTGGAAGTATAAAAAAGAAAATGAATAGATAGCAATATCAAGAAAATAAATATGATTATATTCATATTCAAGATAACCTCATCAAAAATACCTATAACAAAATAGACCTTCTTATGAAAACACATATAACAAAACAAACTTTATATGAAAATATCTATAACAAGATAGACTTTCTTATGAAAATACATATAACAAAATAGACTTTCTTATGAAAATACCTATAACAAAATAGACTTTCTTATGAAAATACCTGTAATAAAATATACCACACTACATACAGTTCACAATCAGATGATGTCACAATAGGCTTTCTTAAAATTTTAAAGTCATCAGGACTGAAATTGTTTTGAGATGCAGACATCTTGGATTCTTGGGTTGTGATTCTTAAAATTATGAAGTCATGAACACTGAAGTCATAGAACATTCCACTACTGTAGCTGGAGGCAAGGTCGGAAGACATCAGTAGTAGAACCATTTCTAGAGGATTACCGGCATGTGCTTTTTTGGAGCCTAGTGATTGTGATCCCAAGGATTATGTTTAATATAAAAAGAAATACTTACATGGATAGGGTCTCATGCTCTTCCAATTATTGGGCCAGATCTCAGCTGCAGGATAATCAGAGCTTTTAGGTGGTGGAATATAGCGGAGTCTTGAATCCCAATCTGGACCACATCTTTAACAATAAAGAGACATAAAATAGTTATATCCACTTGACACAAGCTAGGTCATTTTGGGACTAACATATAGTTCAACTTTATTTCAACAATTCGCTTCCGCTTAGGGGTCTTTAGCGGTGGGCAGAAATCGGAGAACCCAGAGAAAACCCACGAGTTTGAACAAGCGACATCACTCCTTGTCACATACAAGCGGGGAATCGAACCCACACCACTTGTTTAAATGACAGACCTTATGATCTGATTTGCAAGCATTAAATCATGCTTATATAAATATCAGTCAACGTAGCCCCAATTAAAATACAGTAATTGTTTCAATAGAACTGTTGTGTTTAGTTTAACAATTACAGCCTTATTAAACATCAACTTACTTGGTATATTCTATGTTTAAACTCTGATTGTGAGGCGTCCATTCCCCGTCACCAGATAAATCTGTATTATGAGGTAAATATCTTCGTCCCCTCGGTACATATTTAGTTACACCTCTTAAATTTTCAAGATCAGGAAAATGTCTTCTTTCTCTTTCTGTCAAACAAAAAATAGACTTTCAGAACTATGACCGACTGAATACAACGGCACCAATTCAAATACAACTTGGTTAAAGGAGCTAAACCTCTAAAGTGCAATTTAGTAAAGTGATAGTTTTCTTTTGTCTGCCATTATGTTTTAATTGAGTTAAACCGCTAACCCAAATACTTTCCTTATGGTAATATTCGAAATTAAAAATTATGAATTAAGATTTATTATTGGTCCATAGCAATCAATATTGATGTTGTTATCTTGCCATGAAAATATGGGATCCTAATATCCAATATTAAGACACAATAAATATTTTATAATAAGTATATCTGTAATGAACAAACAAAAACATATCCTACAAGACAATGCAGAAGTAAATAGTAATGGCTGACTCACAAATGACAAAATTATAATAAAAAAACCTGTAGAATGGACAAGGCAGACTTAAACGACTGCCATTCAATTTGGACTTTTCATGTATTTTACCGAACGTAATTAATTAGAAATTACAATAAATTTGTTAAAAATTGAACATAAATCACTTTATATACATTCATATTACATTTGCTTTTAGAGCCATTTTCATCTATATTAAGGTTTCAAAGAATAGAGCAAAACACCCTTTTAACAAATTTAAGAGGTTTAAGGGAACTAAACCTTTAATTCAATATTATCCATAATATTCCTAATTAAAAACACGAACTAGAATTCATATTAGTTTATTTCAATCGATATTGATGTTGTTTTCTTACCATCTAAACATGGATCCTTATATCAAACATTTAAGACACTAAATGAAAATTTCAAAATCAGTACACAGTGTCGTGTAGTTACTATACTTGTAACGTTAAACTGTGTGTTTAACGTTACAATTGATACAGTCTAAGAATCCTTACACAAGTTCAAATAGGTTGAAACGCACAATTGTCAACACATATCATTACAGTTTGTATTGGAATAAGTAATTCTATGACAAATAGTGAAGACTGGACCACTAAAATAGTTACCGAACAGTTTTTCTTTGTGGTTATGCGTTCAACATTTGCATAGCGATGTTTCTTGTAATGACGTATTACACACAAGCCGCCATGACACCAGCCAGTTGAAATTTCGCGTAGCAGTTGGGTTTCATCAAATCATATAATTATGCGGTAAGGCTACACCTTTATTTCAATAGGAAATGATTTATTATATGTTAAGCTAGGCGCAGTACTGTTTTGGGTCAGTTTATGTGTAAATTAAGGGAGCTATAGGCCAGTAACCTTTTTGTAGTGATTTCACTAAAAAACTTGCGCAAAGGAACTCTGTAGGACGAGCCACTACTGTGGCTGGAGTAAGGCGGAAGACATCAGTAGTGGAAACATTTCTAAGTGTCGTGTAGCTCATCTCTACATGTATGGTTTTGTGTGCCATTTGTAATGAACAAAGAAAAAAAATATCCTAAAAGATTATGCAGAAGTAACTTAAAATTGCAGATTCACAAGACAAAATAATCCGTGTTGTGTTTAGTTCAGCTCTGAACGTATGTCTCACAGCTGCGAGTGTAATGAGACCTACGTTCAGAGCTGAGCTATGTGTAGAATGGTCTAAGCAGGCGAAAATGACCGCCGTTGAGTTTGGACTTATCCTGTATTTCACCAATCACCGAACATATTTATGGTTCCAAATTGGAAATTTCAAAACCTACATTTATGCAGAACGAATTTCAGGTATATGCGTCTGGATGCAATGATAAAAGGATACATCAAATTGGAATTAATAAATGAAAATTCGATTGTTAATTAATGCTATCGAAAACTTACCTCTTTTGCCAGGTTTTCCTATTTCTGTTGTAAGATGAAGCATTTTGTTTGTATTTCTAAATTATTTGACTAATTAAAAAAAAAAACCCAATAAGTTTATATTATCGATCTTAATTCATGTTAAATGCACAAAAACCGAAACATATCCACTTGAATTAATTTAATTTGTTTACAAGAAGCCATTTTTGTCACGTGGTGTAAACGTCGCTATGGAACAGCCAATGATATTACACGCACCTGCTCACTTCCGTCTGTGTATATGATTTTTGTCTGGACGGTGTACAAATTTATAAACACCATTGGAAATTATCCACATATGGTTAACGGGTTGTGTTAGTTTGGGATTATATTAGTTTTTATATCTCATGTCGGGAAGGGAGAAAAACACAACCAAATTTAACATTTTATGCAAAGTTATTTCCTGTATTTGTATTAACATTCAGTCATCTACTGTTGGAATCCCAAAAGCAATTCTGGTTCTGAAAGACGAAGTAAGCCGCCTGAGCAGTTCCGTACATGCAAGGCCTACAGAATGTTGCATATTATTTGGATACTCTCCTTTCTGGGCAATTGGCAATTGGATTAACTTTTATTTTAGAGAATTTCAAGATCAATTAATCCACCACTTAACTTTCTGACACACAGCCCAAAAGTATTTCTTAAAAAAGATTTATTATGTAAGATTTAGATAAAGAGCTGGCGTTCTTGCTGTAATAATAGTTCAAAAATAGATCATTCAAAATTTATGTATTGAAAATTTCATTAAAATTACTTTAATTCTGATCCAAGATATCAGTGTTTGAAGTTTTGACAAGATGTGGTAAATATTGTTTATTACTGTAGCTATGTTACTTGTTTATCGAGATTCCGCCTCCTTTCTCCATTTTTAAATTAAATCATTAAATGGTGATTTCATTTCAATCTTTTTAATTCTCTGCCATCTGATGTTCTAGAGAGTTGATTATAAACTTATGCGAAAAAATGTCTACATAATAATTTATATAACATTTGAAGCCAAAATAAAATCCTGCCATTGGCAGATTTAGCTCTTGAATAATGCATCTTTAAGTAATGCCCTGATCCCATATAACCCCGCCAGATATGGTGATAGACCTGTCAAACATCACCTCATAGAGTCAATAGGAGTGATTTCGATTCCCCAGTTGTATTGTAAGTGACAAGGAATAGGATCGCCTGTCCAACCTCGTGGGTTTTCTCCGGGTCCTCCCACTGCTAGAGACCCCCCACTCCCAAGTGAATTTTTGAAATAAAATTGAATCATGTTAGTCCTGAAATGATCTAGTTTGTGTCGAGTGGACATTAAAATCCATTCCTCTCTCTCGGACACCCCCTCCTCAGAAAGGTGTTCAATAGTCTTGACCAGGAATACAGAAAATAAGAGATTACGTTCTTCGCTCAAGCCTCTTCTTTTACAAAATGAAGGTTACACCACGTCCACCCACAATGATCAAAGGCTGTATGATATGGGATTAATCGTCCTACTTTTCTGCACCAACCTTGGTAATGAAATGAAATGAGGTTTAATGTCCTGCTCTGACTGGACTAATGAAGACGGGCACATGCCATACAGTGTACTATCATGAGGGAAATTTTGCCTTGACAGTGGCGCTTTGGCCTACTCTTATATCGAATTCGAACTGCAAAAAGATCTTTTACTTTCACCCCAATGTGTACACACGACCTCAGTTTTTCGTCCCATCCATATGACTATATGATGTTCCTTGCCAGGCACCACTGAAAACGAAAGAGAGAAATGGGGTTTATTGTCCACTCGACACAAACTAGGTCATTTCGGACTAACATATTGTTTAATTTTATTTCAATTCGCTTGCGCATAGGGGCCTTTAGCAGTGGGAGGAAACCGGAGGACCCGGAGAAAAACCACGAGGTTGGACAGGCGACCCTACACCTTGTCACATACAACCGGGGATTCTTAACCATGCCAGTCGACTCAATGACAGACTTTATGATACAGCGCACGCAAGCTAACCATTCAGCCATCCCCCCCCCCCCCCGCCACTAAAAGGAGGAACCACACTGGAAAATCCAGATTAACTTTCTTCGCCACTGCAGGGATCGAACACGGGACCTCCAGGTTAACGAGCAAACGTCTTACTCATTAATCCACCTCGGTAATGAAGACCGGCATATGCTACAAGGAAATTTTGTCCCGACAACAGCATTTCCGCCTACTTTTCATGGATTTCCATTTATCAATGGTTAATGCAGGTAATGGAAGAGGTGAACAGATCAATCTACCTTGCTAAGTCATCCTCATTTTTAAAAAAAATATACACTAAACACAATTTAAAGATTATAAAGTTTCTGTCGATTTATTTACTGAAATGTCGATCAGATACAAAGACAAGACTGCCGACAATATTTTGTGTTTTAAGATAGAAAATTTTCCATCTGGGCATAACAAATGTCGCCCCACTAAATAACATAACATCATTACATAAACTATATACAATGACAATCTAGTCTACACAAAAAGCACTTGTTGATCAAGACAAAAAAATATCCTTTAATTACTATACCATTAAATCAATTAGTCTCATATTCTATTAACAATATTGTATAAATATATTCCAATTCTAGTATTAATTCAGCTTTTTAGTTTTATTACATACCCTCTTATATTCTTTTGTATCCAATTTCACTATTACTTCATCTCTTTAAAGTTATCAAATTATATAGGTTAATGCTGTTATTGGGGCACCGAAAAGCCTCTATATAAGCTATTGCTTTACTCTTGGGCTGCCGGCCTTTTTCTCAATTCAGACACAAAGAGTCATTTTTGTGAAACACCTTCCTAACTGGACATTTTGCCACATGTACTAAAATATTTTAATACAACCGTTTAGTCATACATAATGTGCAAAAGAGGTGAATTGGTGTTATATAAAATTCTTAAACAAGATCAATTCTAAATGGGCAGTGAAATTGATATTCTTAATACAAACAGAATCAGAGATTATTAAACTTATTTTAAGAGAGTAATACTTCAAACCTGCTGATGAAACTGGTCTTAAAAAAAAACCATACATGAAAATAACAGAAATCAAATGTACAAATATAAGTACTCATAATAATTAAGTTTTCCATTCATGTTTAAGTCAATTCTAAAGCTTAAGACAACTTTTATAGCCATTCAAACATTGTTATTATTAACCATACAGTTTTAAATTAATAAATAGCCCAATAGTCTTAAAGTGTAACCATCCAGGTACATACCAATAACGGTTGTTAAACATTACTATGTATGTCACGGCTACGATTATAATTTCTTGTTTCAAACCCATTTGATTACAGGATAATATTATTAGATATCTAGTGAAAAGTCTGAGACAAATATATCCTGGTTGGCAGTGGCGGATTAAGCTCCACCAAGGCCTGAGGTGGCAGTTGCTGGAGGGCCTATTTAGTTTTTAAAGTTAGAGCCAAGGTAGTTGCTAACATTAAAAACGGGATTCTTTACTGAGGTTATAATATTATTAAAATATTAGTTATAACTATTGAAATTTGTCGTACAAAATGCTTTGACAGCAGAAACGTCACCGGAAACCAACTGTACATACACCTATTTTCAAGGATAATATTTCCTCATGATGGGGTGTTTACATCAAAACTAGCGCAAGATCTTTTGCTAGATATATTAAGCAAGACATTGTAGGCCTACGTTTAAAAAATAAGATCAGATCTCCAAACAATAGGGCCTATTTAAAATGGCATGGGCCTAATTAATTTCGGGTCAGGGCCTATGTTGATTCCCGTTGGGCCTAAACCTCACCCCCCTAACATTCATTGTCTATGCGTTTTTAATCGTATCAGACAAGTCTAAAATATTTTTTTTTACAAAATCTTTGGGCCTGAGGCTGCAGCCTCATCAGCCTCACTGATAATCCGCTACTGCTGGTTGGTATATATTCATTTATGTAACCAATGACAGTTTTTAACCATCCCGATAAGATTTTCCTCCTAGGTCAATGTTTCCCCTATTTTTACTACAAAACTCAACCATTGCTCTTTGTATGATTGTGAATTTTGAAACTTTGACAAACTATTTGAAGGACTCTTGCTTTGTATCCTGATTGTAGGTGATAATTACTTTTCCCACCTCTGAACACAATGACATAATTAGCAGATACATGTATATTATTTAGTATTAATCAATGATTAAATTTGCAATGATTATAATGACAATTAGAAAGCAATTATTAATAAATTATCTATTATATTTTATTCAAACAAACCAACAACAAAAGCTAGGACTTCTGTCAGATTGTCGATTGTTTCTGTAATAAAGAATTTTTTAAACATGCATATGATAAAATTCCCAAAACTCTTGCCTTTGAAAGACTCAATCAGTTTCAATGTGAAAACTAACTTCTTTGCTTCGAGGAGTTGCACATACATAATTTTATTTTAGGAATATTCCCGGCATACAAAAACAAATAAATTCATTTAATAAATGCAAATTACAATCATTTTCGTCAAATTTAGCATTATGAATATCAATTAAATACTGGCCAAATTGTGATTTTGATTTTACAAAAAAAGGAGAAGGTTGAGATCCAAAAAGGTTCTGTAGTAAAAACAGTCCATAACAACCATATTTTAACTTTCCAACAGGTGTTAATATTTTAAACTTTCTAATTTCCAGCAAGTGTTTAAATGCGAAATGACAAGTCTAGATATGACCGGATGGTTTAAGAACTACGTCTGATTATCAAGCAGAGTTAGTTTCAAAAAAGATACAATTATCATAATTGTTGTGAACTTATTTAATATATAATTAGCAACAGGTCATTTTGTACATTTTTCCTAATGTGTTAACCAAGACTATACTTTGCCATCATCCAGGGCTTCCACTTCAAAATCTTATTAACCGGTCAATTAATTAAAAAAAAAAGTGATAATTATTTAGCATTATACCAAATTTAATATATTTACATATAAACAGTATAAATTTTAAATGTATTAATTCTTTTTTAAGGTTAAATTCTAATCTCATGGCATGTTAGCCAACAGTTAAATTCTCCAGTCAATTTTCACCACTAATCTGACAAATATGAGTTCAACAAGAGCCCTGTGATCAATTATCTTCAATTTAACTGAATCTAATTTGTAACATTAATATCCATATCCATAGCAATCATTAAAAGTATAAATATATATTAATTCTGTAGATTATTTCATAAAAAGTAATGATAACCTCCTGAAATGTTACAGTAGAGTCTGTCAGGTCGGCTGGGGAGGTCATTTGTACATCTAATCCTAACCCTAACCAAGGAAGAAAGGTAGGAAGGATACCAGCAAATACTTATTTTAGAAGACATTCTTGTAATGACCGAGTAAAACAGCTATCCACAAGTTCAGCAGTATAAATAAACATCTGATTGGTCAATATATCCTTGGAAAATTTCGATACTTTCTGACCTCCCTAACTGGCATGACAGTATCCTGGTAGTCAGCGAATAGAATTTCTTTTAGCCAGTTTGTATTTATATCTGACTGTCAAGAAGTGTTGAAGCAGAAATAAACAAAATTCTGCAGCTTGAATTTAGAAAGGTATCAAAATGGGTTAATAAATATGAAGTTGAAGTATACACAAAGTTGTATTTTATACAACATATACTCTGATTGGTTGATAAGATTTATGAGACTTTGTGATTGGCTAGGATTGGCCTGTAGTGAATAAGCTGAGTTTATCTTCCACACTAGCGACAAGTTTTTTGTTGATAAAGCGATCTAAATGTTTGGCTAGATTTGGTTGCAGACAAATTGGAGTAGCAATGGATTCCACACTGACTGAGGCTAAACTCTCTACAAACTTTTCCACAAAATTACACCTGAAAAAAAAAAGTTTCATTTTATAGAATTAAACATTCCCATTAACCATTTCATTAATGTCCGAGTAATCCAAATGAAGTGAAATGGTGTTAACGTACTACTTTTCTGCACCGATTGGGCTATGATACAACCCATCATCAAAGTCCTGCAGGAATTTCCAGTCTGGCTATGAACAGTATATGGTTGATTGGATGGGACGTGAAATGAAAGGAAATGGGGTTTAACGTCCTACTGTTCTGCTCCGAACTGGGTGAATGAAGATGGGCATACGGCATACAGTGTGCTATGATTGAAATTTTGCCTGGACAGCGGCACTACGGACTACTCTTGTATCGAATTCCAACTGTCAAGGGATCTTTTACGTGCACGGCAATGTGTACACGGGACCTTGGTTTTTCGTTCTATCCGAATGACTAGACAGCTGTCCTTGTCAGGCCCTCCGTCCTGCATCACTGACAAGGGGGAACCACATGGATGGGACATAAAACTGAGGTTCCAAGTTCGTGTTGGGGTGCATGTAAAAGATCGTTTCGAAATAAGAGTAAAACGTAGTGCCGTTGATCTGGCACAATTTCCCTAATAGCACACTGCACAGCACATTCCCATCATCAACAGACCATTTAGTTCAGCAAAGTAACTTGCTAACACCAATTAATTCCATTTCAATCTATCATCAAAAACTGATACAAGCATGATCGTAAAGATATAATAAGACTATAATTTGAGTCAGTGACTGTCTTACCATGAGGTCTGCAACTGGTTATCCATATCTACAGGTGATGTATTTTGATAAATTACTTCCCCTTGTTTCAGCATACAACATAATAATGTACAGCCCAACTATAAAACAAGGAAAGAGAATAACATACAATTAATTTAAACTAATGTAGTTCGGTAGATTGGTGTATGATTAACTTAAAACTAATATCAGCAAATCGACAAATTGGTGAATTATTAACATAACCCTAACATCAGTTATTGGTGTATGATTAACCCAATACCAAACTGTTTTATGATTAATTTATAACTAATATCGCTAAATTGGTTATGATCAATTTTAAACTAATATTGGCAAATTGGTGTATGATTAATTCAAAACTAATAGTTCCGCAATTTGGTGTATGATAAATTTTAAACTAATATCAACAAATTGGTGTATGATAAATTTTAAACTAATATCAGCAAATTGGTGTATGATAAATTAAAACTAATAATGTATGGCAAATTGGTGTATGATAAATTAAAACTAATAGTTTGTCAAATTGGTGTATGATTAACTTGAAACTTGAATCAGCAAATTGGTGTATGATTAATTTTAAAACTAATAGTTCACTAAATTGGAGTACGATTAATTGAAACTAATGTAGTACCACAAATATATATAATCAATTCTGGTTGTTTGTTTAACAATATGCTTTGTTTATAAACCCTACGGCATTATTGTAGACAGATGAATGTGCAATCTGTATCATGAGTTCTAATTGGTCTACAGATCCAAGTCCACCTAGTACATTCTGTTTAAGCCCGATACAAAACAAAATGTCAGTATGATTTTAATAACATACTTTGGATAGAATTATCGAAACAGACCACTTTTTCTGCGGAAAAAGGGTGGAGATGTTTTCTTGATAATGAATGATTTACTCTGTGTTATAGCAAACATATTAGCACCACTAACAACATCATATGGTTTGTGGGGTTTGTTCCATGACTTCGAACTTCTTACCTTACTCTGAAAGACAAGTTTTAATGACTGTTCTTCATGATATTCTTTCTGTATCTGTCCAGCAAATTTAACCAACATATTCAGATTGCAGGTAGCTATGGCTCTTGTTATTGATTCACATAACTGCCCTGTACCCTGTATAATAAATCAGAAAGGATTGTACTAACTACTCAACTGAAAAAAAACATCACAGGCAGTCCAATATAGGCTGTTTTTTTTAAAATATTCCATAAAATATTCTGTACTGCCTTCAAAAGATTACTAAAATTACAAGAGCATCGCTAACGCAGCAATATACGTCCACATTCCTGTTTTGTTTGATATGGTCCAGTTTGCACTGAGGGTCTGTGAAATAAAACTGGGTTGTAGGACTGCTATCAGTTTAACATTTCTTTTACATTAAATTTTTATTTTAAAACAATCGATGTCTTTATTCTAAATGCATGACGTTTCGAATAGGTATGCAAAGTTTCAAAAGGATCTGTTAAGAATTGCGGCCTGTAGGCAAAACACAAGACACACAAACATTAGTCATGGCTCTGTCCCAAGGGGTCGAGCATGCACCAAAAATAATAAGAGGTCAGCCTTAGGATTAAGGAATAAGTATAAAAAAGTAGCCTTAGGTTATAAGGAATAAGTATAAAAAAGTTTTCAAGATGATCGATTAAGAAATGCAGTCTGCAAGTGACACACAGACATAAAAAAAGAAAATGGGCGTAGCTCTACCCCTGGGGGTTGGGTATTCACCACAAATAATAGGGATGTTCCTTAGGATAGAAGGAATATGTATGCTAAGTTTCAAGGTGATACGATAAGAAATGCGATCTGTAGATGACAAACAAATAAATAAATGTAAGGGATGATGATCACTTAAGAATTGTGGCCTGTAGGCGACACACAGACCCCCACACACACACACACACACACACACAGACAGGGGCGACGGCAATATATGTCCACATTATGAATGTGGACGTATAAAAATGTAAATTGGGAGAAAACTATACAATTTCAGAACAAGTTTTAAAAAATGTTATTGAGAAATTTTGTCTGCGATTGCTTTCACACCCATTAAATGAAATGAAACTGGGTTTAACGTCCTACTGTGATTGGGCTAATGAAGACAGACATATGCCATACAGTGTGTTATGAGGGAAATTTTGTCTGGGCAGCAGGACTATGGCTTACTCTTATATCGAATTCCAACTGCCAAGGGATTTTTACCATATTCCTGAAGCAATGGCTCGAGAAATCCCTCTCTGGCCATTGCTGGATTGGCTTCTGATACTTGAGCTTTTGAGGGAGTGTGTCTATTCTTCCCATTCAATCAAATCTATCCCAAATAAAGCAACATGACAGCCCTTCGTTTAATCTGGGCTCTACCCTAAAACTTTGGACAGTTATTGTTGCTAAATGAAAGAGTTCTAAGAATCTTTCGCACACAATTAAAAAAACTTGATTCATTGACATATATCTAGGATCTCATTCTACTTGTTCCTTACCTCTTCAGAATCTTTTTTGGCCAGGTTTGGTAAGTATGATAAAATTATAGACATCAAAACTTCTGTTTGACTCTGAAATTAGAATAACCATTAAAACATGGATGTCAGACTGCACACGCATCATGATAACATACATTCAGCAGAGCTTTGTGCTGTATGTGTGCCCTGCTCCCACGAAACCAGACGCTTGTCCCACAACTTCCATTTGTATTACGGGTACAAAGGCAGAGAAAGAGAGAAATGGGGTTTAACGTACACTCAACACAAACTAACACATGGGACTAACACATGGTTCAATTGTATTTCAATAAATAGGGGTCTTTAGCAGTGGGAGGAAACCGGAGGACCAGGAGAAAACCCACAAGGTTGGACAGGCGACCCTACTCCTTGTCACATACAACCGGGGAATCGAAACCATCCATGCCAGTTGACTCAATGACAGACCTTATGATAAAGCATGCACGTGCTAACCATTTGGCCATCCAACCCCCCAGGCACGAAAGCATAAACTGTATGTTTTCTTGTTGCTGTGAATGAGCCGAACTCAACTCCAAATTTAAAAAGAATTGCATTTTTGGAAAGCTTAGATTGTGGACTATTCAAATATACTGCCAACTCTATTTTTATAAAAATGACCAAGAGCCTGGTTTTGTGGGAGGGGGTCACATATATAGGGTAATATTAATTTCATTCCTGACCTACTCCATTACCACACTACTACTCACAGGATTTTGTTAAACAAGCCAACAGTGAGGCTGATGTCCCCCGCCGAAATAGGAAAATAATTAGAGGACACATATAAATTTATCACAAATTATCTTTTACAAAGTATTGAACAATCAAACAGTATATCTTTACTTATAGTCTAAGCATACAATGTTTTTGATGGAATAATTATAGCATATTAAGGGGAAAACATGCTCTATGCCTACAGATCTAGAGTTTGGTTGTATCAACGGGTCTATTTTCCATCTTGCTGCAAGTTGTGCAAAGTTCACTGTTTTCTTTCTGTCATTAAATGTCAATTCATTATTGCATACTACATATTTAATTAATTTATAATAGTTTCTTTTTCAATTTGTTTTTTCCATTTATTTGTTTATTTACCTTGCCTATTTTCATTGTATTGGATTGTATTGGAATTGCTCAATTGATGCTTTTATCAATACCTGGTTATAATATTATGACATGTAATGTGGCACGTTGAGTCGGGACATGTAGGCTATAATGTAACCTAAATGTATACATAAGTGGATTTCGTTTCATTTTTTTCGAAAATATTGTACAGATAAAAGAGGAGGAATTACAGGGGTAATACATTGGAAAGCTTCTTCAAGAACTAAAGCATAAACTATATAAACGAGCTTATAAAAAGGAAAAGTTTGTATAAAGACGTTTCGTTTGCACAACTGGGTGATGATAAATCACGTTTTGTCTTTCTAGCAGACGACACCGTTTTACGGCTCTGCTTACCCTAAGCGGAAAATGCTCATCTTCGAACTCCATCAAGGCATTGACCTAATCAACACATACACCAAGTTTGAACATTCTAGCTCAATTAGGAAGAGAGTTATCGTGCCCCAAAGTATCAACCAATCAAATTGCTTATCTCTGCTTACCCTAAGCGGAAAATGCTCATCTTCGAACTAGGCGGGGGACAATCAAAGTAGGAGAGTTATTGTTTTCCAAAGTCTCGACCAATCGAATTGCGTATCGCTCTGCTTACCCTGAGCAGAAAATGCTCATCAAACTTAGTCAAGGTATTACTGTAATGAAACTATACACCAAGTTTCATCAATCTCACTTAATTAGAACTAAAGTTATCGTGTCCCAAAGCATCAACCAATCAAATTGCTTATCTCTGCTTACCCTAAGCGGAAAATGCTCATCTTCGAACTCCATCAAGGCATTGACCTAATCAACACATACACCAAGTTTGAACATTCTAGCTCAATTAGGAAGAGAGTTATCGTGCCCCAAAGTATCAACCAATCAAATTGCTTATCTCTGCTTACCCTAAGCGGAAAATGCTCATCTTCGAACTCCATCAAGGCATTGACCTAATAAACACATACACCAAGTTTGAACATTCTAGCTCAATTAAAAGTTATCGTGTCCCAAAGCATCAACCAATCAAATTGCTTATCTCTGCTTACCCTAAGCGGAAAATGCTCATCTTCGAACTCCATCAAGGCATTGACCTAATCAACACATACACCAAGTTTGAACATTCTAGCCCAATTAGGAAGAGAGTTATCGTGTCCCAAAGCATCAACCAATCAAATTGCTTATCTCTGCTTACCCTAAGCGGAAAATGCTCATCTTTGAACTCCATCAAGGCATTGACCTAATAAACACATACACCAAGTTTGAACATTCTAGCTCAATTAGGAAGAGAGTTATTGTGTCCCAAAAAGTGTGACGGACAATAAATCTACACTGCTGGATTAAGCCATCATTTTTGAGTTGAACAGTTACCACCCTACCCTTGATTGAAGTACATGCTGTAGGTTTTGTCACATTTTCTTTTTAGGTCTTGTTCAGCAATATACTTCAAATTTTAAGACTGACATATAATAATTTTCGTTTCAATGGTTACATGTAAAATGTGACAGGGAGACACATACTAAACTTACCCTGTCTGTCTACAACAAGCTCCGCTTGTGAACAGACACTTAGTTAGTTGACTAACATTTTAAGTCCTGAATCAACTTAAATGTGGGCATATAAAAATTTAACGATAAAACGGATAAGCGAAACTAATAAACAATCTACGCTACATCATTACTCAGAATAAAGTAATTTGAAAGAATTTATTATTATAGCAAGAACTTCCAGCTCTTCATCTAAATCTTACATAATGCATCTTTAATATAGATTTGACATGTTACAAGTTATTATTTAAAAATCTATTAACTCACCGTATCAAGGAGAGGTAAAACTCTGGACAATAACTTCCTTCCTTTTCTCACAGAAATAATCTGTAGAAAGTTATCTGGGTTATCACTGTGTGTAAAATATTCTAATAAATTGACAATTTTCTCCTTTCTTGCTTCATTCAATGGCTTCCTGTGGGGGGAACAAAATGAAAATATCTTTTAAATAACATTCATCTGTGAGATTATGTAATAAAGGTACAAAATCAAATGAAATGGGGTTTAATGTCCTGTTCTGCACCAACTGGGCTAATGAAGTCGGGCATACGCCACACAGTGTGCTATGAGGGCAATTTTGCACGTACAGCTGCACTACTGCCTACTCTTATAATGAATTTAAACTGTCAAGGGTTGTTTTACGTGCCTGCAAACGTGTACACAGGACCTCAGTTTACCAACCCATCCCAACGACTAGACATTCTCCTTACCAGCCCCCTCAGTCCTGCACCAATAACAAAGAGGAGCACGCTGAAAAGACTTTTGTTACGTTTTAGACACATCATCTTGTTCCTTTTCATGGTACAGATAAATTCCATTGGTGGGGGATAGTTCATTTTGTTCCATATATCTTTATATCTGATCTTATTTATATGCCACTTCAACCGCTTGTCATTCTATGTGGTTATAATAGACATGTGTTATTAAAGAAAGTGTGATATATTTGAACTAACCTGCTCTCTGGAGTTAAAGCTAGTACCTGTTTCTCTAGATCATCTATATCTAATAGAATATTATAACCCTGAAAATATAACAACAGTAATATACATCTAATAAAATAATTTAGGGTCACCCATATCAATTAGTAGCTGTTTTTCCATAAGAATGCATTATAAATGAAATGGGATTTAACATCCTACTCGGCTAATGAAGATAGGCATAAGCCATACTGTGTGGTAATTTGGAAATTTTTCCTGGACAGCAGCACTATGGCCTACTCTTATATTGAATTCCAACTGCCAAGGGATCATTTACGTGCATGCCAATGTATACACAGGACCTCAGTTTTTCGTCCCATCCAAACGACTAGACAGCTGTCCTTGTCAGTCCATCCATCCTGCACCACTGACAAGGGGAAAACACGCTGGAAAATCCTGATCAAACACACGAACACGATGTATCGAACACATGACTTCCAGGCTAGCGAGCCAGCGTCTTACATACTTCGCTAACGTGGCTCCATTAATGCGCTAAAAGATTAGAAAAAAAACATACATCTTATAATGCATCGTACCCAAATGATGAGCCAACGTATTACATATTGTAGAAGGGCTGGCAAGATATATCGTTAAATCGGGGCATCGCGATTTCCATTCTTACGATTCGCTTTGTCCACAAAATACAAATGATCAGACAGTATTGTTCTGCACCGACTGGGCTAATGAAATAAAATGGAATACTTGCGCAGGGATACACTCGTGTGAACCGAGGGGTATTCAATGGTCATCGAGTTCTATCTATATATCTTTAGGGATCTTTTACGTGCATGCCAATGTGTACCAGGCAACTAGGTTTTACAAACTATGCGAATGACTAGACAGCTGTCCTCCTTGTCAGGCCCCAACGTCACGATGAATTTTCTCAGTCAACAGATTGGGCCACGAGAGAGTCTAACCAAATGCCAAGGATTCTTTTACATGCATGCCAATGTGAACACGGGACCTCGTTTTTTTTCTGTACTATCTGAAAAACTATACGTTGTCTCTTGGAAGGCTCTCTTTCCTGCACCACTGAGATGAGGAATCCATGCTGGAGAATTCTGGGGAACTTTCTCATCCAACACCGCAACTCTCTTGCTTTATAGATCAATGATATTTAGTCATGTGGGAATACAAACCTTTTCTATATCCATGAGCAACTGACGAATCTTGCGTAATTCCTTACTGACATTCTGACCTTCCTCCCCACCAATAGATGCTCGTCTTGTAATGTTAATTATCTGTCGTGGATTGTGAACACTGGCTGTTGTTAGTCTTCCTAAAGAACCTTCAAACTGAGCTAAAAAAACACCAAATCCGCAATTAAGAACAAATACAAAACCTTAATTAAAAACAAATACAAAACCTTAATTAAAAACAAATACAAAACCTTAATTAAAAACAAATACAAAACCTTAATTAAAAACAAATATAAAACCTTAATTAAAAACAAATACAAAACCTTAATTAAAAACAAACGTTACATAAATGCTTCTACTTTTTTTCACTAACTGGAAATGAAATGGGGTTTAATGTCCTACTGTTCTGCTCCGCCTGGGCAATTGAAGACAGGCATGTGCCATACAGTGTATTCTTACAACAAATTCCAACTGAACCATGCCGGAAAATCCTGATGAACAAAAGGACTGAGCATGGAACAACATCTTACTCAATTAACCACCATGGCTCTGATAGATAACGGAGGATATTTAACCAATGGGAGCCACGGTGGGTAAGAAGCTGGCTTGCTAGCTGGGAGGTCGCGAGTTCAATCCCTGTATTGGTTGAGAAAGTTCATCAGAATTGTCAGTGGTGCAGGACGGAGGGCCTGATAAGAAAAGCTGTCTTGTCATTCGGATGGGACGAAAAACTGAGGTCCTGTGTAAACTTTCGCGTGTACGTAAAAGATCCCTTGGAAGTTGGAATTTGATATAAGAGTAGGCCATAGTGCCCATGCCCAGGCAAAATTTCCCCCATAACACACTGTATGGTGTATGCCCATCTTCATTAGCCCAGTATAGGAGCAGAACAGTAGGATGTTAAACCCTATTTCATTTTATTTTACATTTAACCAATGAATTCCATCTAACCTGGAGAGTATGTCTTCTGTTCTATTTTAACCAAGTGAGGTATCAATAACTGTTGTTCTTCTGTTGTTACACCATTCACTTCCTGTTGACGACGTAATTCTTTATTCTTTTTATTGATCGTAAAATTCTGCAAAGAAAGTTTAAACCCATGAAAAAAACAAAATCTTATTATCAAACCACTTTGATACTATACCATGCAGATGTTGAATTACTGTGAACAAAGATAGGTTGCCAGGCAACAAAACATACACCCACAACAGCTAAATGAAATGAGGTTTGACGTCCTACTGTTCTGCTTCTATACTGGGCTAATGAAGACGGGCATACGCCATAAAGTGTGCTATGAGAGAAATTTTGCCCGGGCAGCGGCACTATCGCCTACTCTTATATCGAATTCCAACTGCCAAGGGATCTTTTACGTGCATTCCAATGTATACACTGGACATCGGTTTCCCGTATCATCCGAAGGACTAGACAGCTGTCCTTGTCAGGCCCTTCGTCCTGCAGCACTGACAAGGGGGGACCAACAACAGCTAAAGGGTTGTCGCATATTTATTCTCTTGTCAGTAATGGGGGCCATTTATTTAGATGAGTTATTATTTCTTTAAAGATTATCCAGACGTACCGTATAATAGTAATCATCTATGTAAGGATTTTCTGTTTGCAGCTGCATCAACTGTATCTTTATTATCCAGTCTTTCTCCTTCTGTGTCATGAGACCTGCGAAATCATCAGTTGAACGTCCATCACGGGGCTGTTCATGGGACGGTCTATAGTAATAGTCACGATTATAACTTGGACCTTGAAATCTTCTGTTAATATAAATAGTGACATGAGTTTGTCATTAAATTTAATTTTTCTCAACTGATATCAAAGCAAAGAAATGTGGTTTTACAGTAACACTCTTCTGCACCTACTGGACTAGTGAGGTCGGATTTACGCCATACAGTGTGCTATGAGGGCAATTTTAAACGGACAGTGGTGCTCAGGTCTACACATATTTCAAATCTAACTGTCAAGGGTTCTTTTACATACACGGGACCTTAGTTTTTCATCCCTTCCAAAAGACTAGACAACTGTTCTTGTCATTTTGTCATTGCCACGAGTATTCATGTGTTTACTGCCATGTTTGTATGGAGCCTCGTAATGGGCAAATGAAGTTTGAACAAGCTAATTTGTCTCTGCCCCAAAAATTAACAGTTCAGTTTAGTATAGCAAAGGCAGGTTTCAGAAACTGGCTCTGGTTTGCTAATGAAAATATACACTTATTATCATCAATTGCTTGCCTATATTTCAATAAACATTTAATAGGGGGAATCATTATGCTGTTTCATTTCATTCACAAGCAAAAGTTTGACAAGTGAATTCCTAACAATATAACTTACTGATGATTTTTATTGTAAGGCCTAGCTGGACTTGATTGGTTACCATAGCGATCAGGGTATGGATGGTTTCCTCTGAAATTATTCAAATTCAATAGAGTTAAGCGTTCTTTTAATATTGACAATGGTAAACATATGCCTTTGGTTTTTCCTCCTATCCGTATGAAATGAAATGAAATGAAATGGGGTTTAACGTCCTACTGTTCTGCTCCTAACCTGGGCTAATGAAGACAGGCATACGCCATACAGTGTGCTATGAGGGAAATTTTGCCAAGACAGCGGCACTACAGCCTACTCTTATATCGAATTCCAACTGCCAAGGGATCTTTTACGTGCACGCCAATGTGTACACGGGACCTCGGTTTTTCGTCCCATCCGAACGACTAGACAGCTTTCCTTGTCAGCCCCTCCGTCCTGCATCACTGACAAGGAAGAACCACGCCGGAAAATCTGGATGAACTTTCTCGGCCAATGCAGGGATCGAACATCCGACCTCCAGGCTAGCGAGCTAGCGTCTTACCCACTTAGCCACGTGATCCCCCCTATCCGTATGACCTTATGTATGCCAGGCCCTTTTGACAAAGGGAGCCAAGCTGGAAAATCCTAAGGCATTTTCTCTGCCAACTCTGGAGTCAGACACAGGGCCTCCTGGTTGGTGAGCCACAGTCACTCTCACCAAACTAATGTGGCTCCCCCTCATTGAAATAAATACACACAAAGTCATTACCTCCATAAGAAGATCAAGGGACATCATTATACTTCCCTAAAGAGCTCGACTTCGACTACCACAGTAAAGTATGATACATAACCCCCAAAAGACTGCAGTCCCCCCCCCCCCAACAGCTTCACTACAGCAGCACCTTGATCAGAACAGTTAAGTATGAAACAAAATCCTCAAAAGAGGGCACCAAAGAAATAATTCTATTCAAGTCTGCAATTCCCGAACAGCTTAAAAATACCAAAGTTTCTTGATCAGAACAGTTGGTATGAAACTGAATTCTGTGATCTCTGAACTCGGCATGTGGCCTAAAAATAGTAAATAAAGCTATGATTTACCTGGGACCATTTTGACTTCCATATTGTCCTTGACCTCTAACCTGAGGTACATTCCCTGTATTACTGAAGTTCCGATTCTGAGTCATAGCATTGGCTGAATTAAAAAAAAAAATAAAGCGTTATTTCCAGTCCTGTAATGGGGTTTAACATCCTACTTTTCTATACCAAGAGGGCTAATTAAGACGGGCATATGCCATGCAGTGTGCTATGAGGGGAATTTTGCCCGAACAGCGGCTCTACTCTACATTATTTCGAATTCCAACTGTAAAGGTTTCTTTCACATGAATGCCATTGTAAACACGGGATCTCAGTTTTTTGGTCCCATTCTAATGACTAGACACTGTTCCTTGCCAGGCCCTCAATCATGTACTATTGGAAATCATGCCAGAAAATCTAGAGGAAATTTCAATGCCAACACCTGCAGTGAACCCATGACATCCTGGTTAGCGAGCCAGCACCTTACTAAGCTAGAATAATGTGATAAAAATACAGATCTATATTTCATTTTGTTTTTTATACTTTCGATGGCCTACACCACTAGAAGATCTGATCAGTTGTTTTTCAAGGTCACGTCAGAGGTCATACAATCGGCTTTTGACCCTATGATGTAGGACATTTGATTAACCAATCAGCATTGATATTTCTAATGGATTACCCACAGTTCTGTGAACCTCATGCCAAAAGCTCACCGTAACAGACCGTTTCATTGGCTAATCCCTCACATCATCCAGAACATGTCAATGATAACAACTCTTCCAGATCCTAGTGTAGTAAACACAAGTAAAACGAAATTTTGAACTATAAAAAACGAAACGAAATAGGATCTGTGTTTTAATCTGATTGTAAGCTAGATGGTCAGCTCTTTATGTTAATCTTGCGTAATGCCAGCACATGCAGCAAACCCAGCACCTCACTGAACCAGAATGGCCAGCTCTTTATCTTAAATAATGCCTTTTAAAAAATGAAATGAAATATAAGATATGAAAACATGCATGATGTTGACATGACCTACCGTACCTAACATGACAGATTGATGTTGGTTAATATTAGTCATGATATGGTTCTGAAGCGGGGAGTGTGACAGTGGCGACATTCTCAAGGGATGTGGAGGAGTGATTGATCTTCCTAGTGGGGAATTTGATGTCATGCCAAAAACTAAAATAAACAAAAAAGGTTCACAGGTTATTATAGTATTACTGTAAAGCAAGAAAGGGTGAATCATTAAACATACATTATGCAAGAGCTAAATCTGCCTATTGCAGGCCTGAAATGTTATATAAACTATTAATTAGACATTTGTTAACATGACAAGACCATGATCAACCCTCAATGTCGTCTGATGCTTCTGATTTTCATTGGATTTGAATCCGATCTGCCGTTCAACGCCCCATTGATGATTAAACACAACAATGGATAATCGAGACTTTGTTAATTATCACGACAGCGGTAATAATGACAATCAACGCTACAGTGAAGTATTTTGATTGAAATTTTCAGCATATTTCTTTTACATTATCTATTTTTTTAACTATTACAGCGTCAACTCTTTATCTAATTTTTCATAATGTATCTTTAATTAACTGGATCAAGGAATAAACAAGAACATATATACTTATCTAGAACAATAATTACTAAGGTCACAGAAAAAATATCTGGCTCTTCGACAATCCTTACCTAAAATCTGATGTAGGAGGGAGATTCCCCACCCCCCCCGTGTTTTTATTGTCAAGGTCATTACTGTCTTCTTAGGCTAAATGACTTCTCATAAACATCACATTTCAAGGCCCTACATTTATCTCACATTGTTTATAGGAATGTATGATTATCCTTTACAGAGATTGCAGTAGATCAATTTCGAGCTGCGTAAAAATATGCAGACATTCTAAAATATTGCCTTCTTGCCCTCTACATCTGGGTGACTTAACGAGTTTCTCAAAGTACTCAATAGAAGCAAGTTAAGTGCCCTTATTTTATTGATACTGTATTTAGTTTAATGAAGACTAGAGGTTGAAGCAATATCATTGCACAGTCATTTCAATCTTTCACTTCGATAGAAAGTAAAGAACAAACTATTTCTACGCAAGCCAATATTTGATTGGCTGAATTTAACAGTTTATCGTGTATATTAGCCAATAAAAGTCTTGTATGAAATGTGCTTTATTGCTTTCAGTGCGGCAAATGAGGGGGTGTCTAAGAATAGCTACATATAGAAGACTTACTGCCATGAACTTAAAGATTATGAATCAAATCAGAAGAAATTTAAAAACCTACCGAGTACAGTAGCAGTGTGTAAACAAAGATATAATAATTTTATCGGTTATCTAAACATAACCTAATTATTCTCTTGTCAGAAAATTTTCTGGGTATAAATTATGCAGCATCCGTCAATATTTGCATTGATTTTGAAGAAATTGTGTGAAAAACCCAGATTTTTGCGTGACTGCGACCTCTGATCCTGTATCATTTATTATAGTCAGTAACATTTATCAGAGTTCCAAACTTGATAAATGAAATTACCCCACATTTTTTTTATAACGATCCTTCCTGTAACTGGGGAAATATATTTACGTGAGGTAATTGATGCAACTGTTTATATTGTTTGAAATAAAAATGAGTCATGCATTCCTTTTTAAATGATGCATTTATAAACTGTTTATGTTACATTAATATTATGGGCCAATTTTTCTTGGCATACACCAGCACAGCTGCTACCGTGGAGTTGAAAAACATTTGTCTTATATGTAATTAACTAACCTGGTGATTGTCTATGAGGTATTGGTGACATGTTACCAGTCGGAGTTATCCGCCCACTTGCTAATATCTGATGTAAAGGGGAATTGCGTCCGTCTGGATACATTTGAGTTATTGGACTAAACCCATGCGGGGCCTAAAATAGAACATAATAAAACTATAAACATTCAAAATTAGTGAACACATAATGTAACACATGATTTTTGGATATCCCAGCATGTGAACCTCTAGTTTATTTTAAATAAAAAAGTTTCTAGAGAGAAATGGGTTTAACGTCCACTCAAAACAAACTAGATCATTTCAGGACTAACATATGGTTCAATTACACTTGCACATAGGGGTCTTTAGCTGTGAGAGGAAACCAGAGGAGTCGGAAAAAAACCAAGGGGTACAGACAACCCTACTCCTTGTCACATACAAGCAGGGTGTGGAAACCATGCCACTTGTTTAGGCATTCGGTCACCCAAACACACTATCTAGTAACAACTGATAAACATAACATTAGCTGATGCATCCACACTTGATAACCTTGTCTATTACAATCCAACGCCATACTTCTGTCTGAATCAAGTCTGGATATAAGGCACCAGTGACAGACTTTTTCATGCACAAATTATCACACAACATATACTATTCAAAAAAAGTAGGGGATATTTGATTTTGGGGGCATAATACTAAAATATGCAAATGACTACGAAAAAAGTCACTATAGAACCTAACAGAAGAAACATTTCCAGTTACATGTGACGCCCAAACGCACCAATAGCTACCGCATGGAGTGCAGGTGATGCTTGGGATCATCATGGGGGTCCAACCCAAGATTTGCACGACTCTGACTTTGAATGTTACAGTCATTGTGGCATTGAATTCCAGGGTGGAAACATCAGTTTAATTGTTTTAGTGACCAGAAAACAAATTTTGATATGCGTCGGCTTACCCAAAATGAAAGGTTACGTGCCCTTGGCATGCTATAGATCGGCACAACACAGGCGGTTGTGGCGCGGACGATGAATTTTTCTCAGTCTGTCATAAGCAGGCTATGGTCCAGATACCGTGATACACAATCTGTACAGGACAGACCACGCTCAGGTCGACCAAGGGCGACAACTCAAGCCCAGGATCGATTTATCCGTACCTTGGCCTTGAGAAATCGTGTCATCACAGCAAATCAGATCAGCGCTCGTCTTCAAACAGACACTGGTGTGAGAGTGAGTGGCCAGACGATTCGGAATCGACTGCATAGGGGTCACCTTCGCGCCCGACGTCCTTGCGTGATCCCTTGTTTGAGAGATCATCACATTCAGGCAAGACGTCGTTGGTGTAGGGATCGTCAACACTGGGATAATCGACGCTGGAGCAATGTGATGTTTTCAGATGAGTCAAGGTTCACTGTTGATTTTTTGGACAGACGTAGGAGGGTGTGGCGTCGTCGAAACGAGCGCTTCCAAGACGTTAACGTCATCAGACATGATCGATTTGGGGGTGGTTCTGTTATGGTGTGGGGAGGCATCACTGTTGCTGGAAGAACGGCTTTACATGTTGTTGCAGGGCGTGTTACAGGACAGTACTACCGGGACAACATCTTGGCAGTCCATGTTGTGCCGTTCGCACGACGTCATGGCCGCCGTTTCATCTTCCAGGATGACAACGCAAGATGTCACAGGGCCAGGATCGTTACAGGTTACCTCCAACAACAGAACATCACCACATTACCTTGGCCAGCACTGAGTCCCGACCTCTCCCCCATCGAGCATGTCTGGGACATGCTTGGACAGAGGTTACGTCAACGTCAACAACGTCCTGCCAATGTCCAAGAACTTGCTGCTGCGTTGCAACAGGAATGGGACAATCTGGACCAAAATGACCTTAGACGTCTCATTAGGAGTATGCCACGTCGGATCAATGCTTGTTTGGCAAACAGAGGAGGATTTACCCGTTACTGACTTGGTTGTGATGCTGTGGTAACTTTGCTGTTTGACCCCGGGTATCATTTTACCCTTATAATGGTCAGTCTGTGCCTTACTTAGTCTAACGATCATTTGGAATAAATCGATGAATGTGAACTTCATTTCATTTTGTCATTTGTTTCTTCGTCAGTTTCATTAGGTGACTTTAATAACACTTAAAAATCAAATATCCCCTACTTTTTTTGAATAGTATATATAATTATGATATATAAAATAATTGCAACACTGCAAGGAATGAACTCCTTACAAAAGTATTTATTAATGGGTGGAAGAATCCCTGGAACGGTACAGGTCAGCGAGGATCTCAGTGATACTGTAGGGGAGAAAAGGAAGAGCTCCTTTTAAAAAATACCAAAAACATATAATCCCCCCAGACAAGACTGCAGTAGAGTAGTAGAGATTTAATTCCAGGACGCATGGGCACAATGCCCTCTATCAACTGCCATCTACTACAATCTTGTCTAGTTTTTGGTATTATAACATATACGTTGTGTGATAATTGGTGTCTGACACTGTCTGTGACTGGTCACTGGTGTCTTATGTCCAAGCTTGGGTCTGGATGTTCTTATCAAATGCTGGGCTTGTGATTTTAAGGGCCCATTATTAAAAGCAGAGGTATGCAATTATCAGGGCACATAGTTTCATTTTACTCATCATTAAAGATCCAGATGCTCAACTCTGCTCGAGCTCACCAAGCATCTTAAAAAAACGAGTTTTACCTGGACATGTCTATGATAGGGTGAAGCATGAGATAGAGGGGATATGATTGGCTGTGGAGGAATCTGTACAGGTGTTGTATATCGTTGACCTTGCATCATCATAGCACTTGCTTTAGCCGATGGAGTCGTCTCACCCCTCATCTGTCGTTCTAATTCTTCAGCAGTAACAACTCGAGGTTTGGACATCATCCGTTTCTCAATCTCTTCCAGGGTGTGAGCTTGTGGAGGGATCATGGGAGATTGGGGAATGATGTTTCTTCTCTCAATGATGGTAGGAATCTGTCAAACAGAAATAAATTTATAAATGATTAGTGTTTACAATAGTCATTAATGAGTTATTATCCCCCTTTGATGTATCACTTGACTTAGAGGTGAAATGAAATGAAATGGGGTTTAATGTTCTACTGTTCTGCCCGGACTGGGCTAATGAAGACAGACATACCCTTCCTCTGGTCCAAATCTTTTTCCCTGGTCGTTGTGTGATCTCACGAGAAAGTACCTAGGGATTCTTCAGCATAGTATCCTCTTGTCAGTGGTACATTATGAAGGACGTGGCAAGCTACAATCTAGTAGTTTGGATGGGATTTAAAAAATTGAGGTCCTGTGGGCACATTGGAAGTTGGAATCTGATGAAAAGTAGGCAGAAACGCAGCTGCCAGGGCAAAATTTCCAATAAAAGTCTACTATTATGAAGTTTACTGTCTCGCTAACACACAACTTCAGTCATCTTGACACAAGTATTAAGTTAATTTGTTTTCTCTATTGTTTATGAGTAGTGAATGTGCTGATATGACTACTATCAGTTTTACCAGAATCAGATGTTGATGGTAAACCATATCGGCCGATACACATACAAGTACCAATGGTGACTCATTAAAAATTCCTCGAATGTCATGATAATTGATGTAGACACACATTTCATTGCATAATTTAATTTTGTTTTTCTATTGGTCATGAGTGCAATGCTAGGGAGGAGAATTTAGCCGCGGCGGTGGTATTTTCACCTACTCGTAATTCCATCAATCATGGTTTTTGACATGGTAATTTGAAAACAGATTGACTTCATTTTTTCATCCCAACAAAACCAATTTCTTGCCACCAAGTGTTAAATGAGCTTGAATAAATCGGAGATTCTTTTTGTCCAATGAATGGATTTGAACCCGAAACATTCAGATAGCAAATCCTATTCCCTCGCCTCAATGATATTGACATAGAAATAAATTCAATAACAAGCAGTGTAATTAAACAGATTTTGCTCAAACCACAAAGTTACCAATACTGAACACTATATGAAATGAGATAAAACTGAAATAAATTCTAACCAAATTATATATTTGTCCAGTTTGTATAATCCACATATTGTTAACTTCCTGTCGACATTACATTATAATAATACTATGACATCACAATATCTCTGTTACCCATAGCAACCTTATGATTATGATGTCACAAAGATTGTCAATAATGACTTCAAATAATTCATTTTTATGAACAGGACCATGAGAGACAGATAGAGAAATTCGGTTTAACGCCCACTCAACCCAGATTAGGCCATTTTGTGACTAACATATGGTTCAATTATAATTCAATAATTTGCTTGCGCATGGTGGTCTTTAGCTGTAGGAGGACACAAGAAAACCCACAAGGATGGACAGACGACCCTACTCCTTGTCACGTACAAGCGGTGAATCAAAATTGTGCCACTTAATTCAATGACTGACTAATTTCACGCGCACAGGACCACAATGGTTTAGGTGTAATGTTATTGGACGCTCAATTAAAGTGTCACAGGTTTGAATTCTGCTTTCGGCTGAGAATATCTGAGATTTTCAATTAGACCTGGTTGCTTACCAGGCTCACTGCGCTGCACCATGCTGGAAAATCACAACAAAAGTTTTCCGCCAACCATAAGATCATACCAAAGTCCTTCTGGTTACACACTGTGACCTCCAGTACACCCCAGTGTGCCTCCCCCCCTCCCCAAACTACACTCTAGTATGCCCCCCCCCCCCGCATCCCCCACAATACACCCCCCCGACACCCAAGTGTGCCCCCCACCACACCCCGGTGTATAGGCTAGAAATCTTACCTTATAGTTAGACTGTTTATTATTTCTCTGTTTATTCAAGGCTTCTTCAGCTCGTGAATATCTCCAGATATCTTTACTGGATGGTGATACAAGGTGCTCTGTATCCAGGAAGGCTGGAGGGGATGAAGGCCCAAATAAATCTTCTAATCTTGCTTTATGACTCTAAATCATTAAATATGATATAAATATATATATACATGTCCCAACTATAATTAATGCTTTGAAAATATGTTTCGATAAAAATATATAGGTAACCTATTTTGGATTCAAAAAAATGTAATGGCTTCTCGTCGTTTACCTTTTCAGTCTATTTTTCTATTGATGTTTAAATGGTTATTGTGTCTTTAACGAAAATGAAATAGGATTTAAAATCCTATTGTTCTGCTAATGGAGTCGGGCTATCAAATTCAAAGTGTCAAGGGATCTTTGACATGCATGCCAATATGTACACAGGACCTCGGTTTTTAATTCCATCTGAATGACTAGACAGCTGTCCTTGTTAGGCTTTGTACTGCACCACTGACAATGGGAAACCACTCCGAAAAACCGCGATAACAAACCGGCAACCTCCAGTCTAGTGAGCTAAAATCTTACTCACTTAGCCAAGTTCGCTCCCAGTGTTTTTAATGATATTAACAAAATGTTACAGCACAAATTTCAAAATGCATTATTTCCAAGTCTGCCTTGTTGAGTAAAGTTTATCAAATTACCTGAGGTATGGGTCTATTTCTGGAGGCATTTAATATAGCTGGATCTTCCAGATCTTCTTCGTCATCAACCACCAGTTGGGATATACTCTGTTCTAAATATTCCTGATAATAAACAAAAACAATCAATCAATAAATTCATTGTACGTTTCTCTCTGGGGAATCGCACCGGCCATACATCGGTCATTTTGAATGTCACGTGATATGTCCTTCAGCCTTTCGCTTCATAAAGATCTAAGATGGCAGCACTAACTCTTGTTTCTTCAGAAATTTTGTGTATTTTACGCTCATATCGCTGAATCACTCAACATTGCGCACTAAAAATAGTTCCCGGCAAATCATCAAATCACTCGTTTTTGAATGAAATTTTGATGTCAAAATGTGGAAAATATTCCAAGGATCATCAATATGTAACTCATGCAACGAACCGATGCCTATTTGTCGAGAAATCAGCAGCATTTCAGTCAAATAAATCCAGCCAATCAGGAGCCACTGGGAGAGGAGCTTCGGAACCAAATTCAGACAGAAACATGACCAGCGAGATTTCCCACAAAGAGGGACACATGGAGTAACATTCACTCAACACAAACTATTTGGGGAATGACATGTTCAATTTTATTTCAATAATTTGCTTGTATATAGGAGTCTTTAGCTGTGGAAGGAAACTGGAGTACCCAGAGAAAACCCATGAGGTTGGACAGGAGACCCTTCCCCTTCTCATATACTAGCATAGAATCGAGAACCAATGGGACTGAGATCACCACATTGTTACAGATCTAAACTGCTAATTCCTGTTCCATTTTCCCTTGTGATTATCAGTGAATTATAGATTTATACCTCTTGGGACCTGTAACTTTTCTCTGCCGTGTCAAAACCTGAATCTTTTGTCTTGTTGCCATTTTGTCTGGAATCGGAGAAAGAATCCAGTTCTTCTGCCATGCGTTCATGTTCCTCCTCCCAGTCGAAATGCTCTAAAACAAGATTCAATAAATTATAGTTTTAATTGAAATGAAATCAATATAATCACCAATGATGCTCTTGATTTAGCATGATAAACTGTAACCCAGGTATCACTTAATTTTGTGTATCTAGCACTAATTTCTTTCACATTCATTGATTTAATATCAAATCTTTGTTTAAAAATTCGTAAAATTCATAAAAATTGTTTAAAATCACTAAAAATCATCTAATTTGTGCTTGTGTCCAGTGTAAAGATGACTGATTAATTTTGCTAATGAGTGTCCAATTTACAAGTATTTAATTTCCTGACCACTGTTCAAAAATTAATCATTTTTGATCATTAATCAATTAAGTTGTTTATTTTTTAACAGTGATTGAGAAATCAAGCACTTGTAAATTGGACACTCATTATCAAAATTGAATGGTCAGCTTTAAACTAGACAGAAGTACAAATTAAACGATTTATGGTGATTTTAAACAGTTTTTTATGAATTTTTAAACAAAGATTGGATATTAAACGAATGTGAAAGAAATTAGTGCTAGATACACAAGATTAAATGATACCTGGGTTACAGTGATAGCTAATCAGAGTGGGAGAAACTATATGACATTGTTCAATAATATTTCTATAATCAGCTTGTGCGTTAAGTTCTTTAGCAGTTGGAAATGAAATGAAATGGGGTTTAACATCCTACTGTTCTGCTCCGACTGGGCTAATGACATACGCCATACTGTGTGTTATAAGGGAAATTTTGCCTGGACAGTAGCACTAAGGCCTACTGTAATATCGAATGCCCATTAATCTTTTACGTGCACACAAGTGTGTACACGGGACCCCACTTTTTGTCAAATAGACTATACGTTGTCCTTTGCCAGGCCCTCGGTACAGCACCACTTTCTCGGTCAATGCAGGGATCGAACAGTGGGCCTCCAGGTTAGCGGAGACAACGTCCTATCCACTAAGCCACTGTGGATCCCCCAGGATTGAAACCCCGAAAGTTTCATCTCGACCAACACAGGGATTCTAGTTCAATTCCCTGACCGTTTGACTATTACAGACACCACCTTGACAGGTTAAACATGCTAATATTATAGCTGGATACCAGTATTGTGGTAATATTATCATAGCTTACCATCCACGCCATCACCAAATGTTTCATCATTTAAAATATCGAAATCATCCTCTTCTTCTGGTGCCGACATTAATTCACTACTTGTTGACGGTAACTCTCCTTTGCCTCCCAGCAACTAAAATATATTGAAAGATATTCAGAAAATCTTCACAGTGTAAAATCCAATGAATTCGAATCTTAAGCCACAATATCTGGATCTTCATAATCAACCAGTCTGAATAGACTCAATAGAGCAGACCTTAATTATGGTCAGCAGGATGGAGGGACTGGCAAGGAGAATGTCTAGTTCTTTGGATGGGTAAAAAACAAGGTCCTGTGTAAGAGTAGGCTGTAGTCTACATTTCTGCACCAAATAGGCTAACGAAGACAGGCATACGCAATGCAGTGTGATCTAAAGAAATTTTGCATTGACAGTTCTGCATTCCACTCTTATTTCGACTTACAAATGTCAGGGTATCTTGTATTTGCTGCTAATAGTTAACAGGGGATGTTTTCTATCTCTTCCGAAAGAAAGAGAGAGAAATGGGGTTTAACGTCCACTCAACACAAACTAGGTGATTTCTTGACTAACAAATAAATGGTTCAATTTTATTTTTAAATAATTTGCTTGTGTGTAGGGTTCTTTAGCAGTGGGAGGACACCGGTAGACCCGGAGAAAACCAACGAGGTTGGACAGGCAACCTTACTCCTTGTCACGTTTAAGCAGGGAATTGAAACCACGCTACTTGACTAAATGACGGACTTTGTGATTTCATGTGCATGCATTAAACCACTAGACCACCCAACTCCCCTGAATCAGTAACAGCATTTAGATCTAACCATAAACTGTGACAGTTGAGATAAAGTCTGATGCTAAGCCTAAGGTCCCCAGTAAAACCATTATCACCTACGGCCTAAATTTTAGAAGATCTATATGTCAGGCTGTGTTCTAGCCCAAATTGTTTTAATCATTCCCCTGTTGGTATAGCCCATGAATTGAGAAAATAATCTTGCATCTATCTATTTATTGAGATAAAAAAAAAATGAACTGTGTAATTAATGTGTATAATTCATGGAAGCTCGGCCAGCTGAATGACACCAAGCTTAACCCAAGCGTATTTACAGCAAGAAAATATCAAATAACACAGATTTAGATACTAAAAGAATTTCATTTAGAGTCCAACAGATCCAGGGAACCTGCCTGATAGAACATGCTTTAAGGAGAGAGAGAGAGAGAGGGAGAGATGGGGTTTAACATCCACAAACCAGGTCATTTCTGGACTGACATGGTTCAATTTTATTTCAATAATTAATAAGCTTGAAACCGGATGTCCTAGAGAAAACCCACGAGGTTGAACAGGCGACCCAACTCCTTGTCACGTACAACCGGGGAATCGAACCCACGCCAGTTCACTATTGACAGATCTTATGATGCAACGTGCACACGCTAACCATCTAACCATTCGGTCATCCAACCCCCCAATGCTTTAAGGAAAGATGGACCCCAGCAGGAAAGTGAAAGAAAGGGGGAGGGGGGGGAGGAAATGTGCAGAAGAATGGACAAAAAGAACAATGTTTATCATGGCTAGAACTTGGAAAATTAACAAAAGATAGAGACAAATGGACACCAATAGGAATGCAAAAGAGGGGGAGAACAAAAGAACTGTGGAGAACCGACAAAAAAATATCATAGGCAGAACTTGAAAAATACTCCCTGGGGCTGAGCTACCCCTATACACCAAATTTCCACTTTGGGACAGTCCTAGTGTAGCTGCCAACCCTGAACAGACTGTTACAATTATTAGTATACATGTAGATAAAGCATAGAAAAATAAAACTACATAATTGTGCTGTTTATTTATTGTTCAATGTAACTTATTTCAGTTGAAACTCCCATTTAACTATCTACAATGTGGACTATGACAATCCACCAAAGGTTATATATACTGAGCGCCATGGAAAACGCATCACTTAGTTTTTCGTATAACAAAATGATCCTGTAAACATATCTTATTTATTTTGCTTCTTATTGTGAACAATATTCAAATGGGAACACATCAAGAACAACACATTTGTACACTTATGGATGTTTAATCTGTAATCAACGGTACAAAATCAGAGGGGTCAAAACCAAAAGTAAGACACAGATGTCAGTAGCACGTGTGTCCTCCACGGGCTCTTACGCACGCTGTACAGCGATGTCGCATGGAATTAACGAATGTGTAGGGCGGTCCGGTGATGAAATGTGAAGCCTCCCCACACCATTACACTTCCCCCACCCCGCAGTCTACAAGTAGTTCCCCAAGAAGTCTCCACACACGTTGACGGCCATCAGCGTGATAAAGATGAAAGCGACTCATCACTCAAGAGCACACTTTGCCAGTCTACTCTTCTCCATGTCTGGTGTCCTTGAGCCCATATCAATGATCCCTGAGGATAGCTCCAACATAAGGTCCTCCTGCACGGAGTCCTACTTCTCTTAGACGACGTCTTACGGTGTTCGCACTTACTGGTCCTTGTCTTCCGACGACTGCTGCACCTGTTCGAGTCGCTGGCGAATCTGTCACGCAGATGAGTGACCCGGATGTTCAACCAACCTTACAATAGTGGACTGATGACAATCGAAGTGTCTGGCAATAGCACGTGTAGACATGCCAGCCCTGGACATTCCCACGGCTTCATTCCGTTGATTTTCAGTAAGTCTTGGCATCTCTAGCTCGATTCCTTCACACGTCCAACAACAAATTACGACAGATTGACGTTTCACAGTTCATGTACTGCACATTAAGTTGAAAACATGCTTTTAAAGGGCTCACACACAATGCTGCACGTGAATATTGGGTTTTTCATGTGCATCTCGTGCAATTTATTTTTTGCACACGGGTCGATATTTTTTGCGTTTGGGAGCATTGTGTGAAACAATAGTTCATAGTATTGCATAATATTATACATATAAAACAACCTTGTAATAAAATATTTGGGAAAAAAAGTGATGCGTTTTCCATGGCGCTCAGTATATCACACTCCATTCGGTCGGACTCCGAAATATTATTATTATTATAGGCCTACTGCATTTCCAATATGTGCATGATTGTTGTCTTGGAATGTGGTTTTAGTCTTGTCAACACAATATTGACATCAGTCATTATGAGCCTAACATACATGTTTGATTATTCTCATTTCAGTTGTTACATGTGTAATGTGAGAATTTTGCCTGGATGGCAGCTTTTCTACATAGACCTACTTTTCTAACTTCTGTATGTGTACAGAAATATGTGATCACGAGTGTGAACTCAGTTTTTTTTTTCATACATGTACCATCTGAACAACCAGGCATATTTTCTTTGGCAGCCCAGGCAGCAGATTTCATCCTCTGAAAAGTCACAACCAGATTCTTGAGATGAGAGGGATGTGGCAGGCATACTACTCGACCACCAAAGGAGATCTCAAAGAAAGATTGGAATATCACCCAAGGCCAACCTAACAAGAGTAAACAAGAGCACATTTTTGTTGCTCATTTTGCTGTCCCTGGAAGAGCTGGACATATATATTTAGTCCTTGTTATCCGTCTCTCAGAGGCCAGGAAATAAGAACAATATCTATGATTAATTCTAATCCTGAACCCACAAACGATTTGATGATTGTGGAAATATCACCATGTTGTGAAACTGAAAATTAAATAGGTCTAGTGAAAAAAAAAAGAAAAATCCTAAAAAAAAGTCTTTGACGAAAATAAGGGCTTGTTTATTGATTTCGAGATATTAGTATTGGTGGGTAAGATATGGGATCAAAAGATGGAAAAGACGTGGTTTAATCTAATATTGGCAATTATTTATACAAATGTAGGTGAAGTGCGTGAACTTACAGGAAAGCTCGACTTTCCTACAACCTGCATCTTCGTCATTTCACGCCATATTCGCTAACAATCTCCGCAGCTAATGTATTTCAAGAAATGTTTTAAAATGAATCTAATCAAAAATTTCATATAAGGTTTCTTATAGGAGGGGATTCTGAAATTAAATACTTTTATAATTTTTAATGTTCTTTATGTAAACTTTTCTATGCGTTTTCTCGAAAATTTTGATAGGCGACGTCTTCCAGACATTTCCAATTGTGATTGTTTTTAGCGAACAATTAAGTCTGGATAATCGATCCAAACATTTCTCCGGTCGATTTTCCGCCATTATTCGTAAAGGAACGGAAATTGCCGATATTTATTGCTTGATTTGATTCTACGGGTTTATTTTAATGCAAAAGGGGCAAATTAAACCAAAAACCGAACAAACTAAATATTTACTTGTGTGCTATGTTAAAACACCGTGTTTGAAGCGTACACTTTAGTGGTTTTGTGCTCAGTTATTTTATTCCGTTATGGCCGAAGTCGACATTGCCGAGGACATTCCGAACGGAGACGATTCGGCCTTCGTGGATGAACATCAACAAGCAGCCGATACAGAACACGATGTCCAATCCCAAGACCATGTTATTGCTGACAGTGTTCACGAATCGATCACCCCTGATCAAGTTTTCGTTGCAACATCACAGGGACTTATATCTGCCGACCAACTTCGAGAAGCAGGAATAAAAACGACGCATATTGTTATCCATGATAACACGCTGACGACAGTCGATTCGGGGGGACTGAAGACACCAACCACTCCCCTCCCCCCACCTACCCCAGCTACACCTCTCAGTAAAGAAAGAGGTTTTAAATATCAATGGGACACCTCCGTACACCAGATGATTTTACCAGTTAGGTGTAAAAATTTAAATGGAGAGCTCCATAAAAATAGATTTGGTTCAGGTGATTATAGCCTATTATTCAGTCGAATTGGTGTATTTTATGATATTGGTGTCTGATTCATTAAAAAGTGCTTGAAGTTCAAGTCGAATGCCAAAAAGAGAGGAAAATGCAGCGCGCAGTGATCAGAATAACCAGATATGATTTATTTCCGACCTTATACATGTAGTTATATAGTCTAGATAGCCTGGCTGAATTAAAACAAATGTGTATGCTAGTCTATTTAATTAGCCAGGTTGATTCAGAAACGTAGGGGAACCGTGGTGGCTCCATGAGTAAGATGTTGGCTCGCTAACCCAGAGGTCCCTTGTTCGATCCCGGTTTTGGTTAGGAAAGTTTATCAGGATGGTTCCCTCTTGTCATTGGTGCAGGACAGAGGGCTTGGCAAGGGACAATGTATAGTCATTTGGATGGGATGAAAAAACAATTCCCTATGTAGAAGTTAGCGTGCATGTAAAATAAAGTTGGAATTTCGAAAGATTAAACCATCCTGCATAATTTTGGTAAATGTATTTTTATTTTATTTTTGAACTTATTGGCAGGTGGTCGTGGTAAATGTATTAAATATGAAGAGAATTGGTATACACCTAACGAGTTTGAATCATTAGCTGGTCGAGCGAGTAGTAAAGATTGGAAGAGAAGTATTAGATATGGAGGACGTACGTTACAGTGTGTTCTAGAGGATGGTTTATTAATGGCGCACGCTACCTCTTGTACATGTGCTTCTTGTTGTGATGACGAAAGTGTGGTGAGTTGTTTGTTTTACAGATCTAATCTCAGATTATATTATTCTTCATGTGTTCGAAAAAACTCTCTTTGGTTGTGATTATCAAGTGACTTGTTAATAGAGTCTTTAGTCTTAAGACCTTTTATTATCATAGCAATGGAACGTGGCAATTAAGTCTACATAAGCTAAATCTTGTCAAACTTTCAAACATTCATAACTTTGCTCAGAATAAAGCAGTTTGACTGAAATTTGTATTTTATTCATTTTGTATTATCTATTTTTAAACTGTTATACATGTAACAAGAATGACCAGCTCTTTATCGAAATCTTACATAGTGTCTCTTTAATTAATTATTTTGCAGACTGGCCCAGTTCGATTATTTGTACCATATAAAAGGAGAAAGAAAGAAAGTGAGAGTGGTCCCCCTTCACCAACTGGTTCTATGTCAAAGAAATCACGGATTGGTTCCATTAAAACAACTACTTCACCACTTACTAAAGATGAAAAGTGTAAGGTTACCCATTGCCTAAGTTATAAAAATGCTTCAGTTCACAGCAGATTCTTTTCTAGACTTGCATCACTTTATACGATCGGTGGGGCATGCAGGTGTGCATGCATTTGACACCAGTGCTGGCTCGATATATCGTTGAATCAATCTACCACGATTCACCTTTTCATGATTCACGTACTTATGGAGGTTTTGTTGTTGCTTCAGTAAGTAACCTGTCATCTTAATTATCCACGTCACACATTATTAATAGGTACACAAACACTTTTGGTCCTTATTTTGATCCAAATTAATATCGTGATATGAAACAGTTTTATTTCTTCAACATCGGCAGAACTAAAAATATCAATTATTCATTTATCCTGTTACCTTGGTAAATATTGACCTGTTTATGAATTGTGATGCGAATCGTATCATAGCACTTAAATCGCAATACATATCATGACTGCAGTGGCAATACGCAGCACTACTTGACATCATAAGGTCCGTGGTGGTATCAATACCAAGCATGTACGACGTGAAACAGTGTAGGTTCGTCTACCCAATTTTCTTCCTAGTACATTCAAGTGAATTATTTAAATAAAATGACCTGTTTGGCATTGAGTGGAAATGAAACGGAATTTCTCTCCCCATCTTTTGTACGCTGCATCGAATGAAATTAATGGGAGAGATAGTATTTTACATTTTTCTATCTTGATTTATTTATATAGATATTGTGTCGATGGCGAATGGCGTGAGTTCCACCATGACACGAACATGTGCTGTTAGTCATCATATGCAGATGGGATCTAATAAAGAGGGTGAAACTGTACAGATAGTAACAGCTGATAGTGCAGGCAACCTTGTAGCCGGAGGTAAATTACTCACACACATTAAAGTCACTGAGACATATTAATTTTTCTTGGTTTAAATAACATTAAAATTAAAAAAGATTCAGTATTTAACTATAAAAAAAAATAAATAAATATTCATCTCCCAGCTGAATTGATATTTTACATAGAAAATTGTGGATATTTTACACAGAAAATTACTGATATTTCAGTTTAAGAATTATAAATGATTTACACAGATCCAAAATTATAGATATTTTAAATAAAAAATTATAGATATTTTAGATAAAAAAATATATAGATATTGTAAATAAGAAAATTATAGATATTTTAAATGAAATTTTTTATAGATAATTTAAATGAAAAAAATGATAGATACTTTAAGTAAAAGAACTATAGATATTTTGAATAAAAAAATGATAGATATTTTAAATAAAAAAAATGATAGATATTTTAAATAACAAAAAGATAGATATTTTACATTGAAAAAAAAAAAATGATATTTTAGATACAGTTGTCATGACACCAATAGCCCTAGCCCCTGCTCCAAAAGCTACTGTAGTCACCATGGATGTCACAGAACAGAAAAACTGGTGGCAACTTGAAGAGGTAAGTGAAATGAAATGGTGTTTGTCATCTTAGTTACACTTCTAGTATGAGGGAAATTTTGCCCTGACCGCTGCAGATCCAACTACTGGGGGAACATTTAACGTGCTGCAATGGTATACCTGCAACATCAATTATTCATTCTATCTAAACCACTAATTTGATGAGATGGACTATTAAGTGTCAATTTATTTGAAGTCTATGTTTATAAGGATCTTGTATTAATGTAGGAAGTGGTATGGTCAATGAACAACAACTTCAGGTTTTCCTCATTTAGATAAATTCTGGCCTTTAATCATTTATCGAAAGAAAGATGTCTGATGAAATGAAATAGGGTTTAAAATCCTACTTTTCTGCAGCAACTGGGCTAATGAAGAAAAAAGATTTGAGTTGTTGTCTTATAGCTTTTTTAAATTTTGGTGTTTTTTTTATTATCCAGTAATTACTTTTGTTATCCAGTATTTACTATGAATGCTGTTTTCTTTTTGTTATCCAGTATTTATATTTGTGTAATTTAGATCTCTAATAATCTGTTGTTACAAGTACAACAATTAAAGGCTATGATAGAACAAGTAAGACAACAGAGTTTAATATCTAAAGAAAGTCAACTACAACAACTGAGATTACAGATGGAGAAGGAGAAACAAGATGTGAGTTGGAGGGTTATTTTACAACTGGGAACGACTAGAGTAATATTTTACAATTGGGAGGGACTGGAGGAATATTTTACAATTGGGAGGGACTGGAGGGATATTTTACAATTGGGAGGGACTAGAGTAATATTTTACAACTGGGAGGGACTGGAGGAATATTTTACAATTGGGAGGGACTAAAGGGATAATTAACAACACAGAAAGAGAGACAGAGAGAAATGGGGTTGAATGTCCAATCTGTTAAACCCTCTTTCTCTCCCGTTTTACTTATACCCATATAAATGTATTTTTGTCTTCTATTTACAGGCTATCAAAGCTATAAATGCACAGCGTATCGAGGCCCAGATGAACTTGTCACGAGTCGTGATGGAGGAGCGTGCCCAGAGAGACATTGCTATTCAGCAGGCGTTGGCCCATGCTCGCTCGGAATTACAGGATAAAGTAGAATCGGTGACTGTGGTTTCTGACGATAAAGTGACTTACAATGTGACGTGGTCACATCAGAATAATCAAACGAACACAACCATTGATAAAATCATGGACGGTGAAGAATCAGACTCTGATAAAGAAAAGGAGTAATATGTCAGAAAGGAGTTCACTTGTCACCAAGGCGACATCCTTAATTTCAATCATGTTTGATGAGATGTTTTGAGATAATGAATTTTTCATTAAGACATAGAAAATGAACACAATGACAAAGATAATGAATATTTCAGCTTCATTAAGATAATGAATATTTCAGCTTCATTATTACAAAGTTTTTACATTGGAACATTATTATACCGAGCGTTGCTATAAGACATGTGGAGGGTGAGGGGGTGTAGCTTTATAGTGTAGCCCTTGTGTACAAGCCTGTATTTTTTAAATTTTAACATTGTGCTGCAGATTTATCATAAATATCAGTACAAAATAAGGAGATCAATATATTCCGGACAGAATGACAGGCATCAGTGAAAGCATGCCTGATATAGTATGAATTTGTGCCTGAGAAGTGACATTAAGGGTTTTTGAAATACAGATGTGACATCATCCTTTGATGCTGGTGTACCATTATTTTAAATAATGGTACCGACAACGTGCTAATCGTACATTATTTATATTTGATAAAGGGAACATCGGACTCGTGTGACGATTACATTGAACTGCATGTGCAGGATAGTGTCTTGTCATTTTCGGTATCCTTCATTTACTCCACTAACCTCTGGGTCCATCCACAGGGTTTTCACAAATCTAAATTATCTACCCTTGATCGTAGCGTTATTTTACGAACCAATCAACAAACAGTTTACATACCAGTCTTGGTGTCGTCATTGTTTACGTTCACCACAATAATCTTAGTTGCAATAAAATGTGAGTTACTTCCCTTCGCCCACTCAGCACTCGATTGGATGATAAAAATAGCAGAAGTATAATTTGACTATGTCTCTCCCATGGATGGACCCAGAGGTTAGTGGAGTGTCTGTATTTAAAGTTGTTTAACTGTCTTGAGCGTAATATATTGAAACAACACTCAGACTACATGTAATGGCCTTGTGTATTATCAATATATTACTTAATTTCTCTGTTTCGACCATTAAACGACTCTAGTCAGTGAACCCTACTATATCTCTACTGCTATTGTGAATTTCTATAACTAAATCACTGAAGATACATAATTTGCACACATAATGAACTTTTCTTTTTTGCCTTTGTATAAAATTGTAAAAACTTTAATTAAAGGACAAAGTAGCAATGTGATACCCATCTACCAAGGCCATACTTAGAATAAATTTTAATTGACCTACTATCAATTTTTAATACATTGCATTGGGAAGCTACATGTACAACCCTTTTTAGTTTTTAGGTAATTTAGAGTTAGAGAATTTCATTAATTCCCATGCGTAGGGGGTATTTAACAGTGGGTGGGGGTTGGACAGGCGATCCTTATCACTACAAGTGGGTAATCAAAACCGCGCCATTTGACTCATTGACACCTTATGATACAACGCGCACGCCTTAACCATTTGGCCAACACCACATCCACCACCCCCCACCCCCCACCCCACACGCACACACACACCCCCTCATCTCTTGATCTTGAATCCCTTGCAAATACAATATTGTAATAGTTGAAATTTCTTAAAAGAATAGCAGTCCCAATATGGTTCAATTTTTTTTCGGTGGTTAAAAAGATAATGTCAAATCTCTCAAATGATGGTCATCAGTAATGAGATTTAGTTCTTCTAAAAGATCTGTTGAAATTTAGCTTCTTTTTTCTAGAGGTGCTTGGTTTTCAATAGCTCCAAATATGTAAAGATTTGAAAATTTAAGAAAAAAAAATCACTCACATGGGCCTATTTACCAAGATTCCAAAGAACCACATGTAGAGATCAAACTGGGTTGTCCATATTGATTTGTTTGTTATAGAAATAAAATGAAATGATATGAAATGGGGTTTAACGTCCTACTATTCTGCTCAGACTGGGCTAATGAAGACGGGTATACGCCATACAGTGTGCTATAAGGGAAATTTTGCTCGGGCAGCAGCACTATGGCCTACTGTTATATCAAATTCCAACTGCAAAGGGATCTTTTACGTGCACGCCAATGTATACACTGGACCTCTGTTTTTCGTCCCATCCAAACGACTAGACAACTGTTCTTGTCAGGCCCTCCGTCCTGCACCACTGTCAAGGGGAAACCACGTCGGAAACGTTTGTTATAGACCATATATATAACAGAGATTGCATGTATACAATATTGTTTATATTAAACAATATACTTATATAGGATAAGATAAATAAAGTTACTGGCCTTAAATAGACTGGATAACCTACTCTTAATTAAATCCAGCTTGTTCCGACTCAAGACACTTTTCTGACTTGAGACTGGGCAGCCTTCTTAGAACAGGTTATCCTGTCTATAGACTTAACAAAACACAGACTGATTTGGTTTTAGCGACAGACAAGCCCATTTGTCTGGATTTTTGGTCTAGTGGGAATTGTATTAATATCTTAATGCTTTAATTTTTAGACTTCACATAAAATTTAGAAGTGCCAAATCTGATTAAGCACAATCTAATTAAAACACAGATCCTATTTCGTTTCGTTTTTTTATAGTTCAAAATTTCATTTTACTTGTCTTCACAACACTAGGATCTAGAAGAGTTATTATATAACAGGTATTCTAGTTGATGTGATGAATTAGCCAATGAAACAGTCTTTTACAGCGAGTTCTTGGCGTTCTCTGTACAGAACTGTGGGTAAACCCCTAGGAACGTCAACATTGATTGATTAATCAATGTTTGGTGTCATAGGGTCAAAAGCCGCTCGGATGACCTAATCTGATTAAGCACAATCTAATTAAAACACAGATCCTATTTCGTTTCGTTTTTTTATAGTTCAAAATTTCATTTTACTTGTCTTCACAACACTAGGATCTAGAAGAGTTATTATATAACAGGTATTCTAGTTGATGTGATGAATTAGCCAATGAAACAGTCTTTTACAGCGAGTTCTTGGCGTTCTCTGTACAGAACTGTGGGTAAACCCCTAGGAACGTCAACATTGATTGATTAATCAATGTTTGGTGTCATAGGGTCAAAAGCCGCTCGGATGACCTAAGACGCGACCCCCCAGTACAACTGGTCAGATCTTCATGTAGTGTAGGCCATCGAAAGTATATTAAAAAAACGAAACGAAATATAGATCTGTATTTTAATCAGATTGGATAAAGCACTAACTGTTATTTGAATTTAAAGTTTAATATGAAACCAATTTGTATATATCTGTATCTTTAAATAGAATTTCTATTTAAATCAATAATAATTGAAGAAAAAGAGTTGTGTGGAATACTTTAAGACACTCAGTGTGGGCTGGGGGAGTAGCAAAGCTCGAGTGCACTGGTCCATTGACTTAAAGTTTCAGTCCTGATATGGGCTGAAAAGAACCCCGGAGATGGGGGTCTAGTGGTTTAACTCATGTGTGTCAAGTGGTTTAACTCATGTGTGTCAAGTGACATGGTTTCAATTCCTCGCTTGAATCGCCTGTCCAACCTCGTGGGTCTTCTCCGGGTCCTCCGGTTTCCTCCCACTGCTAAAGACCCCTATGCGCAAGCGAATTATTGAAATCAAAATTAACCCATATGTTAGTCCAGAAATGAACTAGTTTGTGTCGAGTGGACATTAAATCCCATTTCTCTCTCTCTCTCTCTCTCTCTCTCTCCTCGCTTGAAGTGGCAAGGAGTTGGGTCGCCTGTCCCACCTCATGAACCCCTCCCAGAGCTGAAACCAATACGCGCATGCAAATTATTGAAATAAAATTGAATCATATTATGTTAGTCCCTAAATGACCTAGTTTGTGTCAAGTGGACGTAAAACCCCATTTCTCTCTCTCTCTCTCTCTCTCTCTCCGGAAGTGAGAAAATAGTAAAATGAACACTTTGCAGTTGGAATTTGATGTAGAAGGCTGGACAATACCACTATCTGGGCAAAATTCTGCTCCTAGCATTGCACAGGTAACCATAGACCATAAACTCCTTTCCACTTCGCATTTGGTTGTTCACTCCAAACCTCTGGATAATCCATGTCTTTCAAAAAAAAATAATAAATTGAACATCCTACTGTTCTTCACCGACTAGGCATATTCCATACATTGTGATATGAGGGAAATTTGCCCAGACTGCGGCACTACAGCCTACACGTATTTTGATTTCTGTCAGGGGATTCTTTTACATGTATGCCAATGTGTACACGCGACCTTGGTTTTTCATCCCATCCAATCTGTATCACTGATAAGGGCCACGTCAGAAAATCCTGATGAACTTTCTCGGCCCATACCGGGATCTAACACAGGACCTCCAGGTTAGTGGGCCAATGGCTAACACACTGAGTCACTGCAGCGCTCGTCTTTCAAAAGATCTGGCAGATTTCGATAGATAGGTTGATGTGGAGTCGGACAATCACAACCTGTACTGGAAGAAGGTGTCTTCAGATTGAGATGAAGTGAATTAAATAACCGTAAAGTTAAATAGAACAAACTATTGGTATAAATATAAACTTAATTCGACTGGAAGATACTATGCACTAGTACTTCTTATTACCACAGTTTGTAAGAAAACCAAGATACATGTACCCAACCGATGAACAATCAACAAACCATTAGTCCTGATTGACTGCAATCTTTACACCATGGGTTCCTTAGCGGACGTATATGCCGGTCAAGACCAAGGGCTATGGAAAATTCAATTTACAAATGTTTTGTGCGTTATTAAAATTGACCAACAATGAAAATTTTGAAGTGAAAGCCCTACTTTACACCCAAATAGTGTGAAAGTAAAGGTGGCTCCGTGAGGAAGTCCTTGTCTTACAAACCAGGATGTTCCTCACGATTTTTCAGTATGGTTTCCCAATTGATGGTGGTGCAGGACTGGAGTCTTGCAAGCAACATTTCCTAGTTGTGTGGATGGGACAGAAACGAGATCCTGTGTATTTAAGTTAGAATTCAATGAAAAGTGAAGGCCAAATTTCCCTCCTAGAACAGTGCATTAATCATGATCGTCTTCAATGACCCAGTGTCAACCTAACAATAAGGCGCCGTTCCTAGCCTGTTCGCAGACCAGCACTACTGACAAGTGGAAACCTAGCTAGAAACATCTAGACAAATTTTCTCCGCAAATATCGTGACCGTCTGGTTAGTGAGCCAGTGCCTTACTGAGCCGCCATGGCTCCAGTTTATAAGATAGAAATTAAGAAGAGGATATTTTCAACGTTTTAATCAGATTCAGATTGCATATAAATATACATGTGAAAATATGATATATGTACAATACATGTAAATAATAAGTTAAAATAAAAACTATTTTACTATCCCAAACGATACGTTATCCCTCCATATAGATATTTATAGTAACACAAAAACCCAGCAATCACAGGCAGAGTACTGACTGAAGTACAAAGGATTAATTTTGACTTCTTCAAGTCATATATATATATATACATGTACAAACTTTAAATTTAGGCCACACTAATTTGATTTTCTGTTCTACAGGGGTCTTGATAATTAAATAGCCACTTGAATCAGGTGAAAAAGGTTTTGTTTACATTTTCAGAACTAAAAGCTTTTAAACAGTGCAACCAAGTATTTTTGGGGTTTTTAATTAGCCTTTTTCCTGCAGAAATAATAAAACAAATGTTAACGTGTTCCAGAAGAACAGATCATCAAAATGGTGTGGCCTTCAGGAGCAAATTCACTTCAATTAACACTGATTTGATGTGTTGATTTCATCTGTGAAAGGAGGATACAACAATCATTCTCGGTAGAACAAGATGTAGATTTGATGGAATCAACCCTGTTAAGTAGATAATATGCTTCAGGATGGTACACTACTCACTAAGTACATGTATGCTCTTCAGACATGTACACTACTAAGTACATGTATGCTCTTGAGACATGTACCCTACCTGTGAGTACTACGACTCGGTCTATGTAGACACAAGCTTTCAGGAGGTGTATACTACTCACAACTCGGCCCCTGTGTATGCGTTTGCGATGTGTAAAGTACCCAACTAGCCCTAACTTGGTAGTATTCCTACCTTGATGACTTCTGACGTATTAACACCTGTGTTAAATGACAGGTATCCATAGTGATAAGCACCTGTTGCAACATCTAATCAGAGTTATCTCAACATTGGCTTAATCTGCAGATATAAAATCTTAATGTAATCAGATCCCTACTTCACAAAACAAATCAACACATCAAACGTGAACAACTAAATTTTTTTACCCAAAACACAAGAGGTCATATACAGGATGAAACTAATTAAACATGACCTTAAGTAACGCCGATTTTAAACCGAATTTCTGTTGCCAACATACTATAACAAAAGTACTGGGCAATAACCCCATTAATACATGTATACAGGGTATCATCACCTACCATAAAGCCATTTTAAAATAATCAACAGTTATCAACGTGTACTAGTGTTGATATCTGCTGACTTCTCTGTTTAATTTCCAAGAAGCCTGCCGATTAGCAAGCTAGTGTTTTTATTAAATAGGGGTTAACTTCTGACATCGATATTCATGGCAACAATATGAATCTCGGAAGCCTGATGATCAGCATTATTTGAAAAATGTTGACAGGCTTGGTGTTTTTATTCATTAGGGTCAACTTCTGACATCAATATTTGTGGTCCTTTTTATAATCTATATATATATATATATATATGTACACAAAATCTTCAGGAATGAAGAATAATATCCTAGATTTTATAGAATGTAGTATGAACTAAATTAAATTATTACAAAACAACAGCATGATCTGTATTTCAGACGAGGACTTACTGTGTCATGTAATTAATACCCTCTTAAGTTTCAGAACTAGCTTTACATAATACAATATTTTTTTTACAGCTTTGTGGTCAATGCGGGCATGTTCGAGAAGGGTAGTATTTACAAGCTCAATATGAAACAATCATTCTCTTCTCCACGTAAACCAGCAGATTATGAACATTACATGAACCAGGAACCAAAAAATTATGGTCCAAGACATCATCGCAGTCATCTCGGAATTGCGACTTAAAAAAATCAAAATCCTTCAAGCAATGCAAAATTGTCCACAGAACATATTTAGTTTCATATCAATCATACACAAATTAACGAATCCTCAGACCCCAAGTCAACAAAGCATTCTCAGACATAAGTTAGGAATTTACTCAACTTTTAATCACTGTTTATGAGAAATATCTTTGATCCAGAAACACAAAACTTTGCACATAGTTTCATATTGATGTATTTGATACATTAAAAGAAGAAAAGTTTTATAAAAGATTATATTTTAGTTAAAACAAGGTGAACAATTTTGATCAAATTATTAACTTAACACTGAGAAATTCTTTGTTAACTTAGGGCCAGGCACTTTTTGAAGAGCGTTGTCTCAAGAACGAGAAGAATAAGGTCAATTCCAGGTTTAAACATTTTAATGTAGATTTGTCAACAGAAACAGTAGGTGTCTCAAGATCTTGTTGCCATTCCTACATGGTAACGATCGTTTGAGAATGGGGTGTGGCAGATGAATGAACAAGGTTTTCTTATCCTTACCGCTTAACAATTGCAAATTGTGTCCATTCAAAGGATTTCATTTATTATCAAACCATCTACTGAAGTCTAGGACATCTATTATCAATTATTTTATTCTATCAGCTTTAGACCAGTCGAGGAACATGGCTTATATCCATCCATTATGTCCTTGATTGATGTAATTTCCACGGATACAAACTGTTCAAGAACACATTGGAGCTTGGACTAAATCTTGATTAAGTCCTTTTAAGATCAAGGCAAGAGTTTCCATGTACCATTTTAACAAGAGATCAAGGTGTGATGCATTTACAACTGTGCTCCAACTGATGTTGATGAATCGAAATAAAGGTAACCATGACAACCATTCACAATGAGCTCTTGAGGAAATCTGTTAAACTAATCGTTTATTTAAAACGAGTTTTGCTCATTGTGAATTTTAAACTGAAACAATGAACTAAGAACAAATGATAAAGAAATATCCCAAAATATATATATACGAAAACAAAAACAATATATCCACAGTTCAGTCAAAAGTCGTTGACCAAGTTCCGTACGTAAAAGATGTTGACCAATCCATCCTCAAGTACGACTTTTCACATTTAATTAATTTTGTTCACTTCTCTCGATAACTGTAACAAATCATAAGAACTCAGGTCCAGTTGAACTATTATCTATCTTCCGACTTTTTCATTCACACCATCACAAATATAACAATATTTAACAAACTGTTTTTATAGTTTAGTTTCACCACAGTGACATATATTTTCACCATAAGTTATTTATAAAGCAGAATTTTTTCTCTTTCTGTTCTCTCTCGCTCTCTCCCTTGCACACAATATCAATTCATCAATCAATTTTCACTGTGGAGTAGATTTTACGAATAAACAGACTAGTTCCCATGTAACCAAACGTTCCTGAAAAACAATTATTATATGAATTAAAGTATGTTATATTTAAAGTTACAATTTCATATTTTCTAAGAAAGTCAAAACATAATTATTTCTATGTTTTTTGCTCAATAGGTTGTCAACTCACTATTATACGATCATAGGTTATCTTTCCCACATTTAAAAATCTTCACACCGGAAATAATAACACAATTACCTCCCTTGTTTTCCTATTCCCCACAATGGAATAGCTATCTTCAAACGTTTGAATTTGAAGTTTAAAATGATATTTTTGCCAATTTCTCAACTGGCAATAGTGAATTATAGGATTAATAGGATTATTCTTTAACAAGGTAGGACTGTTTATAGATACCATCTATTTTAGGGCTTTATTTTAATACATTTTTAAAATATAACTTAAAAATATGAAATTTTAACTTTAAGGATTTTCATTTGTTGCACCGACTGAGCTAATGAAAATGGGCCAACACCAAGCGGTGCACTATATGGAAAATTTGTCTGAAAATCTACTCATTTTTTCATCCCATCCAAACAACTGGACACTGATCATTGCTAGACCCACAGGGTTTTGTGCCACTGACAAGGGGCAAAAATTGTATTTGTTGTTGTGGCACTTACCAGGACTTTCTATTTTTGACGAATTTGTTTACAACACGTTAGCAACATACATTTTTAAAACTATTTTTAGTATTATCCAATTTTTTCTTAATATATTATTACATGTTTATACAAAAAAACATAAATTTAACTGCATTTCACAGAGACTTGTATGGTTTACTTTGAACAAGAGTAAAAATACACAAAATTTAAAAGAGAGACTTACCACACATGATTCCCAAAGCTGCACTAAATAAAGCCATATAACCAAAGTAAAACGTTGTTTGGAAAAAGCCATACATTCTGAAATGAAACAAATAATATAATCACTATTGCTGGATGAACTACCAGAAGAACTAACTATATTATCAGCAGGAATAATGGCCAGGGCAAATAATTATGTCCAGAGAGCTTGATTTCCATCTATATCTATTTTAATTAGAAGCCGGGACAATCTGATGTTGGATAACTTACTTTGTTTTGAAGAAGAAATAATAAAATGAATAGAGATAGACATAGCCTGATGTTGAAGCTGCAGCTAAGAAACTAGTCCATTGCCTGAAAAATAAATATAAAAATATTATAACATTTACCAGTACAATACAAGTATCGTCAAAATAATTCTAGGATTGGAGAGATGGGGTTTAACATCCACTTGACACAAACTAGATCATTTCGGCACTAACATATGGTTCAATTTTATTTCAATAATTTACTTGCCCGTAGGGGTCTTTAGCATTGGGAGGACCCAGAGAAAACCCACGAGACTGGGCAGACGACCCTACTCCTTGTCACGTACAACCAGGGAATCGAAACCACGCGAGTTGACTCAATGACAGACCCTATGATACAACACGCACGCACTAACCATTCGCCTCCTCTATATCTTGGTAATTCATCCCATCTAAACAAGAAAATGATTGCAACTTACCATCTATAATCCTCTGCATTGAGTAGGAAGTAAGTACATACAATAGTTACACACACAGTAACAATAGTCAATATTACAAACACCAGTAGCATGAAACCATATACATAATATATCTTGTATGCCCAGAACGATGTGAATATAAAATACCTACAATTAAAAACAAAATATATCTCATTATACCACAAATATAAACAAAATACAGCCGACACCTCAAATATAAACAAAACATATCTCTGTATTGTGGGACAACCCAGAAAGATCTTAGTCCCTCTGGTGATGAATTGTTTCAATGAGATTTAGTAATTGAATTTGAGTTATACAGGTCACAATATCTATGGAATACAATTACTGTTATTTACTGGGATTCTCTGGTATATATCTAGCAATGATGATCAAGACTAGAAAAGACGAGACTAAACGTTGCTCAGTAATAAGCAGTAATTGTATTCCATAGAAATGTGAACACATGCTGATGGTCAAAGATAGGTTTTGGGGAAAACCAGACAACTTCTCCAGAAAGATGGATTGACCAGCTCCCTGGTTCCCAATTGGACCATAAAATGATCAGCCAAACTATCTGACTGACTATTCCAGTAGTACCCCTGCTCCTGGATTGACTATCCCAGTAGTACCCCTGCTCCTGGATTGACTATCCCAGTAGTACCCCTGCTCCTGGATTGACTGACCAAGCTCTATACTCGGACTACCTCTATATTCCTGCTCCTTGATTGACTAACAGGACTTTCTAGCCAAACTGCAGACTCAACTAGTCCTGCTCTTGGACCTAACTGAAATTTCCCACTTAAACCTAACTTACATTTCAATGAAGATGGAACCAAACGGTAGAATTCCACCAAGAACAACAATCACAGCAGGCTCCATAAACCTATAAATAGAAAATAGAAATATGATTCCTGTAAAAGGATTACATTTTATGATGCCTAAACATCCTGTAGAATAATTCAAACTGATCATTTGACATCCAATTGAGAAAACAAAACCAAAGTTTTAAAGGTAATCTCTTGGCTTATATTCCATCGGATTAAAAAGAGGCCCATCAAAAGATTATATCCAACACTTGTAGATTACACTGGCTTATAAAGGAAGCCCAATGACGCATAATTTTAAATTCATATCTTTGTAATATACTGAATGGAAATGAAAGATTTTAGAGATTCAACTTTCATAATGACAGTCCTCGGCTTTAGGTTTATGTCAATTTTAAATCAAGATTTCCAATATAAATTGAATGAAATATACAAGAATTTAGTAAACTTATTTCTGGATTTCTGCGTTATATGTAGATATCTTCACAATTTTCAGAATAAATTATAACAGTAAGTTTTGTGAAGATATTTTGAAATTTATTTAAAATATTCCCAAGATAGAATCTATGGAGGGTAACCTACCATTTTTTCTCTGGAATAGGTCTGGGTACAGCATTAATACGACATGGATAGTTTGGTTGTCCGGCTAAATTTCTACCTAATACTGTTCCAACCAGGGTCAGTGGTAATATAACAAATATACAAATACAGGTGACAGCAACCTGAAATAATACAAAATACATAGAGATGAAAGGACAGGGTTTAAGAAATCATAAGTCTTGAAATTATACAAATTATACAAAATATATGAGGTGAAAGAGAGTAATGGAGTTGAAATGAAATGGGGTTTAACGTCCAACTGTTCTGCTCCTATACTGGGCTAATGAAGACGGGCAAACGCCATACAGTGTGCTATGAGGGAAATTTTGCCCGGGCAGCGGCACTATCACCTACTCTTATATCGAATTCCAACTGCCAAGGGATCTTTTACGTGCATTCCAATGTATACACAGGACCTCGGTTTTTTGTCTCATCCGAAGGACTAGACAGCTGTCCTTGTCAGGCCCTCCATTCTGCACCACTGACAAGGGGAAACCACATCGGAAAATCCAGATGAACTTTTCTCGGGCAATGCAGGGATCGAACACCTGACCTCCAGGCTAGCGAGCCAGCATCCGTAATGGGGTTAACGTCCACTACAAACAAACTAGGTAATTTTGAGACTAAGACATTTTTCAACTTTTTATAATAATTCGCTTTCGCGTAGGGGACTTTAGCAGTTAAAGGAAACCAGATGGAACCGGAGAAAACACACAGGGTTGGACAGGCGTTGATGCAAATGGGGAAACAAAACCATGCATACACTTAAAACCATTGTCACCCAACCCCTCAATAACAGAAGACGGTTTAATGTGTCATCAGTCCTCACCAAAATATGGTCTTCTCAGCAAATGAGAAAAGGGAGGGGCTAGGGGGACCAGAATTAAGCACTATGCGACAATATACTTCAGTCATTTTGAAACAAACATGCTGCACAGGCAAAGTTCTTCTCCCTCATAGAGATTACCATATTATGGTAATCTCTATGAGGGAGAAGATCATAGAGATTACCATATTATGGTAATCTCTATGAGGGAGAGAACTTTGCCTGTGCAGCATTATTTATGCCGACCCTTGTTCAATATTCCAACTGTCAATATTGACAAAACTCTAACAGAACCAATCCAAAGAGAGATGGGGGTCTGACATTAACTTAACACAAACAAGATCTTGCGATTTCAATAATTTGCTTGATAGCAGGGCAACCCTAATCCTTGTCACATACAAACTTGGGATCAAAACCACATGACTAAATGACAGACCTTATACGTAAGACTCCTTGTTGAACTTGTATCGGCAGTATGAAAAATTTGAAAACTTGTAAATAAATTAATGTACTCACCATAGTACCAAATGGAATAGCTCTAGAAGCGTGATAATAAATAGCTATAAAGTTAATAAAGAAGGCAAGACCACAAGTTAAAGCTGGCAACAAGAAGGCACTAGCCATCATCTGTTTAATCCACAGTTTACCTGAAAATATCAATTTTTACCTTTCACTAAATTATTAAATGAAATGGGGTGGGGTTAAACCATTTAGTTTTCTGTACCATCTCAGCTTATGAAAATGGGCTTACATTATTTAGTGTGCTATGAGGGAAATTTTGCTAAGGCAGCCACACTACAGCCTACTCTTTATTTCGGCAAAATCTTCATTATGTTCAATTGTCTTAATACCAATGTGTACAAAGTATCTCAGACATTTTCCTTGTCGAGCCTAGCTCCCTATCCTGCACCACTGACAAGTGGGGACCAGGCTATAAAATCCAGAGGAACTATCTCAGCTATTATTAGGATCAAACCAAGGACCTCTTAGTGAGCCAGCGCTTTACTCACTGACCTACCATGGCTTCTAGATTAGAGAAAGAATACACTACTGAATGCTTATAATTAATGGTGGCAATAATTTGAATTTCAATTTTAACCACAATAGCCAACAGCAACCATAAAACATTAAACCATTTGACTTACCTCCCATTCTAGCATACAATCCTCCGCCAAAATAACCATTAACAGGGGCAGTAGCAGCAAATACGAATATAGATGTACTTAATAATGAGCCCCTTCTACAATAAAAGACGGACATAGATGTACTTATAATTAGCCCCTCCTACAATAGAACATTGTACATAAAAACGAATGGTCCTCACAGGAACTAAATTATTTAACAGAGAAGTCCAGCCACTGCCTACATTATTCACTATGCAATATCAACACAGGTAGTCAGTTAACGTAAGACCTCCTGTATTATTCATTATTAAAATAGTTTGAAAAATTCATAATCCGAAATACAGCATTTCAATGTTTAATTATCAATGAAATCTAAATTTTACCACTAGCTGAAGATACATTGCCAGGAAAGTATAACGCAGTTATAATATTTCCAATAAAAGTATGATTAATTTCGTATATATGGCAGTGTCTGTTTTTCATCTCATCTGAATGGCTAAACGGCTGTCCATGTGATCAGGCCCCCCATCATGCACCACTGACAAGGGGAAACAACGTCGGAAAATCCCGAGGAACTTTCTTGACCAACGCTGGGAGCGAACACGCACCCTCCAGACTAGCAAGACAGGGCCTTACCTTAGCCACCATGGCTCCCTCAATAATAAGGGTAAAAAACATATTTCTTGTGGTACTTAACAGGACTTTCTATTTTTGACGAATTTGTTTACAACACGTTAGCAAGATACATTTTTAAAACTATTTTTTAGTATTATCCAATTTTTTCTGAATATATTATTACATGTTTATACAAAAAAACAAATTTAACTGCATTTTACACAGACTTGTAAAGTAGATTAGCTTTGCCAGACTTACAAGTTACACCGATTTAAGGTAAGACGTGGCAGGAAAAATCTATTTTCTAAACTACTGTATGGATTTTATTGAAATTTGGCAGGTGTTTGGATATGGTTATTATGAGTTTATGTGCAAAGTATGAAATGCCTAGGTATATTAGGTACTAAGTTATGAACATTTTATTGGAGGCAAACGGTGAAATATTATACAATTTTTAGGAAAAGTAGTTTTCCCGGGAAACCTAATATATATCATAAAACAACCTATTTCTGAATTCCAAAAGAACCATTGTACAGGATTATCTATACAAAATTAATTACAACCTTCATTTTAGCAAATGGGTGTTGGTTGACTTCATCACTTGAAAATTTCCACTTTTTTCCATTTTACAAAGACCAATTGTGAAATATGAATATAACATACATAAATGATTTATAGATATTCCTGTACAGTAAGTATAGGGCTAATATCATGCCAAATTTCATTGTTCTAGGTATAATAGTTTTCATTTTATGGCTTTCCTAAGGGGCAAAATATGCATTCTGAGAAAACGTCGATTTTGTCGCGATCTTCAAATAAAAACAACACAAACACATGCGATCCGTAGAAGACCGGCTTATAGATAGTGCTAAACACTTACAGAATCATATAAAAACTTAGTAGTAATAATTGTAGGCTTTATTCTGATATTTTCTAGGGTTGATGTTGTCTGTGCCTGTATCATACAGTAGCCCACCCACTCGTGCAACCACGCATCCTAATCAGCGATCTTGGAAATTGACAGAGACTTTCTCTCCCATTTTAGTTAAAATTGTTGATGCTTTGTCTGTTTTTTTTTGCAACCTAATTTGGCTGAATTTCTACAGTTTTAATAGAATTGATTATTTGGCTGAATAGCAGCAATAGTTAACATTTCACACACTTCTCTGATTCCGTTTTTATACGGCCATCACTACAACACCAGTCTTTGGAAACAAACACATCTTTAATATTTCCAACAAACATTCTGTGTCAATTTCTTTTTGAAACTCGTTTTAAAATATTTCTGCTTTTAAGTTAAAATCAATAAAATAGTGGGCAACTTGTTCTATTGACTTGGTGTTATTGTAACAACAAGCTACTAAGCATCTATCTATCATGGTGTGATTTAGTTAACTAATAAAAAATTACTATAAGAAAAATCAAATAAAATTAGGTCTATATTTTTTTTTTTTTGTACAGGCAGCCATACATAATATCAATAGAAAATGTGTCTCTTATTTGTCTTATTTATATTAGCAGTGCTGATAGTAATACTTGTATTGCTACTACTTACTATAGTATAATAGTACTAATGGATTTTATTTTTGTTTCACTACTAAAATCCTTCGAAAATTGGTTGCTTTTTTAAAATCTTTATTTTTTCTTAGAAATGTTCCTGGCAGCCATAATGTCCATATATATGTAATGGAAAATAATTAATTTGTTCGTTAAAAAAACCCCGTAAAACATGCGTAAACTTTTACTAGGATATAAAAATGAGTAAAAGAACGTCCCGGTAGTCGCGATTGTCATTTATAAGTAATAGTAACTAAATGGTGAGTCGTGTTTGATCGCGCATCTCCGTAACTAGGCTACGTTTCGATTATAATGTACTGCGCATGCGCCAGAAAAGTTCACAACCGATTGACCCTTATTATGTATTCAAAAACCCATAAAAGGCAGTTTCCGTGATATTTTTTAACGGAAAGAACCGGCAATTGCCAAATATGTAACGGTTATAAATAGAATATTTTACGACCATAAAACGCAGCGGAACTTCCTCTTTCCATCGATATATCAAACATGGCGACCATAACAATGCTGTCGACGGCACGCAAGCCGAAGACGGTGGCATATTTTGCGATTCTCTTTACAAAAAAATTGATTTTAATTGACCTAGGCATTTTTAAAACATGAAATTAGGTACTTATTTTTTATTTTGTCAATTTAATTTTTTCGTAATACGATAATAAACATATTTAACCTGCCGAAAATCAGAAAATGTCAAAACTCATAATTTGGAATATTTTTAGACATTTTCGACCCGCGTCTTACCTTAAGGCCAACTGATTAATGACTCATTTAGCCATGTAGTTCACAAGGGATTAATGTCCACTCGACACAAACTAGGTCATTTCGAGACTAACATATAGTACTATTTTATTTCAATAATTTGCTTGCGCGTAGGGGTCTTTAGCAGTGGTAGGAAACCCACGAGGTTGGACAGACGACCTTACTCCTTGTCACATACAACCGGGGAATAGAAACCACGCCAGTTGACTCAATGACAGACCTAATGATTCAGCGTGCACATGCTAACCATTCGGCCCATCCAATCCCCCCTACAATCTTTACAAACAATTCATCAATAACTTACTCAGTGTAAAGTTCTCCAATTATAGCAAACAGGATGACACATAGTGATACAATACCAATATGATAACCAGTTCCGATAAGAGCTGAGAATAATAACGGTTGTGAAGCAGGACGGAATACATCTCCATGGACTTGTTTCCAACCATATTCATCTCCCAAGTCTTTCTCCTGTAAAACAAATTGTTTTAGAAAATTTAAAATGAGAATCATTACTAATGGATTTTATATGTTGATTTGTTTTGTGTGGGGTCAATTTTACGTCCTGATATAAAGATAGAAAAAGAATTTTGCGATTTGTTTTTGTAGAAAATTAAACATCATTATCAATTCCATTCCATTGGATTTTATTTGTGGATTTGTTTTATGGGGGAACAACTCAACATCTTGAGATAAAGAGAAGAGAAATGGGGTTTAACATCCACTCGACACAAACTGGGTCATTACAGGACTAACATATGCTTCAATTTTATTTGATAACGCACATGAGCGTAGCGGTCTTTAGCAGTGGGAGGAAACCGAGGACCTGGAGAAAACCTACAAGGTTGGACAGGCAACCCTACTAAGAATAGTTACAGTTTGATTGTTCTGCTATAATGAATCTTACCATATCATCAAGATCTTCTTCTTTACTATATCTAGCGTAATCTTTACGTAAAGTTCTCATCAATATCATACTGACTAAACCCACTAAAAATATCACCATCATAAACGAGTTGAAGATACTAAACCAGTGAATCTGAAATTAAAATCCATCAGAAATTAACTTTATTTTTTATTTTCATTCCGATAAATACAAGAGTACGATATTCCCGGGGCCAAGACTGGGGTTTGTCTAAGAAGCTGGCTGACCAATATTCTAATTCTTACATGGTCGACTTTAGTCGAGAACTTCAAATACTTATTTTCCTTTCATTTTCATATTTAATGAAATTGAAAGTGTTTAGTTTTTGTGTGTATGAAGACCTAAAATGGAGTAATGCTGCATAACAAAATAGTACAGAGATAGAGAAATTGGGTTTACCGTCCACTCGGCACAAACTTGGTTGTTTCGGGACAAAAATATAGTTCAATTTCATTTCAATAATTCGCTTGCGTGTAGGGGTCTTTAGCAGTGGAAGGAAACCGGAGGACCCGGAGAAAACCCACAATGTTAGACAGGCGACACTACTTCTTGTCACGTACAACCGGGGAATCAAATCATGTCAGTAGAATCAATGACAGACCTTATGATGCAGCACACACACGCTAACCATTCGGCAACCCAAATCCCCATAAAATAGTACACTAATCATTTAATTTTCAGATTAATCAGTTTGACCAGAGACAGTCTAGATTATCCATCACATGTATTGGAATACTTGACATTACCTTTCACTCGTCAAGTTGGCTGTATAGAGATTTATCTTTTCCACAGCATCTCTAAGGGCAGGTCTGACAAAACCAGAAATTTTAATATAACCTACCCTATGTTGAAAGAAATTTGGATCTAAATATTTATCAAATCTATCTTCATACTTGACTTTGGATGTATGCCACTTCACCTGAAAATTAATACAAGAGAGACATGACAGTTAAATCATTAAAAATATTCAGACGCTCACATATATATAGACAACAAAAATATGTACTATTTCAAATAAACGACTCCAGTTATTCTGTAATCGTGTATATTTGAGTATAAATATACATTTATGAAGACTGGGCTGGTAGGTATAAAAAGACAGATAACATTCACTGTTGTGAATCAATATTTTTGAACTGGTTGCGACTGTAGGTTTTACGTCTGTTATTTTTCTTTTCTTCCAGAATTTTAAAGGTAGGCTGCCAGGCAACAAAACATACGCCCACAGCAGCTAAATCGTCCGAGCGGTCAACATGGGTTTTACTAATTTAAATAATGCATATACATTTCATACAGATCACATGATCACTTTTGTCATTCAAACGTTCACAATCGCCATAACTCTAGAAATTATTGACGGAAATTGCAGAAATTCAATAGACCTGTTTCACAAATTTAAATGATGCATATAAATTTCATACATATCGGATGATAACTGTCAACAATCGAGCATTAACAAGGTTTAACAAAGTGAAACAAGGGAAATAACTCTAGAAGTAATTATTGTAAATTGCTGAAATTCAATAGGCTTTTACGTTTCACTAATTTAAATCATGCATATAAATTTCATAAAGATCGGGTGATAACTTTTGGCGTTAGATCGTTCACAAGGATCAATAAAGTGAAACAAGGGCCATAACTCTAAATCTAATACACGGAAATTGTCGAAATTCAATAGGCTTCTTCGTTTCACTAATCTAATGCATATAAATTTCAGAAAGATTGTGTGATAACTTTTGGGGTTGGAGCTTTCACAAGGTTCAATAAAGTGAAACAAGGGCCATAACTCTAGACATAATGAACGGAAATTGCTGAAATTCAATAGGCTTCTTCGTCTCACTAATTTAAATAATGCATATAATTTTCAGAAAGATCGGATGATAACTTTTGGCGTTAGAGCATTCACAAGGTTCAATAAAGTGAAACAAGGGCCATAACTCTAGATGTAATAAACGGAAATTGCCGAAATTCAATAGGATTCTTCGTTTCACTAATTTAAATCATGCATATCAATTTTACAAAGATTGGGTGATGACTTTTGGCGTTAACAGCGTTCACAAGGTGCAGTAAAGTGAAACAAGGGCCATAACTCTAGATGTAGTAAACAGAAATTGATGAAATTCAATAGGCTTCTTCGTTTTACTAATTTAAATAATGCATATAAATGTCAGAAAGATCGGATGATAACTTTTGGAGTTAGAGCGTTCACAAGGTTCAATAAAGTGTAACAAGGGCCATAACTCTAGATGTAATAAACAGAAATTGTTGAAATTCAATAGGCTTCTTCGTTTCACTAACTCAAATATTGCATATAAATTTCACAAAGATCGTATGTTAACTTTTGGCAGTAGAGCGTTCAAAAGGTTCAACAATGTGAAACAGGGGCCATAACTCTAAACGTAATAAACGAAAATTATTGAAATTAAATAGGCTTCTTCATTTCACTAATGTAAACAACATATATCAATTTTAAAACAATTGGATGAATGTGGGCGTATAAAAACAGGCTGCCAGGCAACGAAATATGCACCAACAGCAGCCAAATTGTCTGAGCAACCAACCAGGGTTGATGCAGATTGACTAAGCTTTATGTTTGCAATTTCTGTTTTCTTCCAGAATTTAAACAAGTGTTTGCCATGCAAGATGTGCCCAAATTTTGCAAGAGATGGACAGAGAACAAGCCAAAAAAACTGATTTTTGTACAATAAGGTGCCATAATCCAGGATGTTATGGTCCGACATGCGTCAATATGAAAAGGAACCAAGATCTTTCGGAAATTAACATAAATTTTGCATTTCGGATGTTCAGACAGGGGCGACAATAATATACATCCAAATCAAAATGTGGGCGTATGCTGTTCCATTATTTTAAAAAGAAGCGTTATGGTCCGACATGCGTCAATATGAAAAGGAACCAAGATCTTTCGGAAATTAACATAAATTTTGCATTTCGGATGTTCAGACAGGGGCGACAATAATATACGTCAAAATCAAAATGTGGGCGTATACTGTTCCATTATTTTAAAAAGAAGCGTTCCAATATTTTAACTTACCTCATATGTAAAAGATAGTTTAGCTCCTGACGTCAGTTTGACCTTGGCCTCGCTTGTCAAATTAACATCAACGATCTGTTGACCGTTATAACCAATATCAAACTTCTTGTGGGTCCAGATATAATGTCCATCACCGTGCTCATCAATTTCTCCCACAATACCTGAAATTATTCATCAGCAGACAATTAATAATATAGTTGTTGATAAATGAGATGAAATACGGTTTAACATCCTACTGTTCAGGACCGACAGGGCTAATGAAGACTCGTATACCCCCATGAATTGTTTTATGAGGGAAATTTTACCTGGACAACGCGATGAGAGACATTTCAGGACTAACATGGTTGAAATAGTTTAATTTTCTTTCAATGACCTGCTTGCGTAGATGGGTCTTTAGCAGTGGGAGGAAACCCAAGAACCTGCAAAAATCCCACGAGGTTGGACAGACGACCCTACTCCTGGTCACAAACAAGTGAAGTTAGGAATCAAAATCACATCACTATGACAGACCTTATGATCTAAACGCATGTGTTAAACCATTTGGTCAGCCACCACCACCCATAACCCCCCTTAGACTAAAGAAACTTACCCCAAATTGGCAGATCATCAATATACATCTGGTACCAGTAATGGCTTTTAACTGCATAAACAAATGCTTGATATTTTTCTTCTGATAAATCAACGCTACAATACTCTGTTTTACTCATATCACCTGAAAATAAACACAACCATTTAAAAATCATAGCTTCACGTTTTATCTATATTAGAAAATAAACAAAATCAAACAAAAAACCAGAACCATTCAAAAATAATGGCTTCACGTTATATCTATATCAGAAAAACAAAATCAATCAAAAAAAACAGAACCATGGCTTCATGTTTATCCAAAATAAATGAAATCATTCAAAAATTGTACCGCTTCATACATGTATTAGCACTGGTACAAGCCTGGAAATAAGGTTCCTGTCAGTGTCATAGTGTTATAGATAAAACCTGTCATTATGTCTGGCACTGATTTTTTATTTATTATATTGATATAATTATTCAAGTATGGCACAAATTGAACAAGCCAAAAGTAAGGCTGATGTCCCACGATGACACATATCTATTAATTGCAAATCATCTTTTTGAAAAGTATCAAGCATTTAAACTGCTTAGCCTTTGTGGAAAATGTGCATCATTGACCACTGTCAAGGCATTCACCTGGTAGCAAGCCTGAACACAAGCCATTGGACACGGATGTGTCCGTAACAATTTTACGCCATGTCAGGCCCAAATTGTATTATGCCTGTCCATTTGTTCGAAACAAAATTTTGAAAGAAATTCAGATCATTATTTTACAGTAACTGACGTACATTAAGCCAGTTCAACGTTCGTTCCATGTGCTCATATGAAAACACCCTGAAAATCAATGCCTTGATCATCCCAGCCAGTGATTCCTCGTTACTATTATTAGCCTAGTGCGACGGTAAATTCCACTTAAATCACCATGCATTTGTATTAATATGAACATTGAACAGCCCAACTTTAATACAACTTTGCCAAAAATATCTTTTGTCAAAAAACATGTAGGATATATGTAGGGCTTCCAATTAGATCTTTAACTAACGATAATTTGATAGCCAGTGCATCTGATAATTCTTTAAAAGGTGAAACCATGAGGTTGAGGGTCAAGGTTGTCTCACTAAATGACATTCTTCTAATTCTAATAAAAGTCGCACTTTGAAAATATAAAAGTATGATACTGATGTATGGTTATCATTTGAAGAACAAAGGGGTCCTGTCACTTCATTTAAAATACAAAGTTTGTGTCAAATTTAAATACTCATATTGCAGAAAATAAATACAGGCGTGACTTCTCGGTCGGGTGGATAAATAGTTCATGTAACTTTCATTTGTCAAATCTGATGGTCCACACTGAAACACAATGTCATTTAAAGGTAAATGAACATTTTTCTAAAGATACAAGCACATCTTTGACACAATTCCAAGTCACAACCTGGCCAGATATTGCATACTTCATTGCCATATGTTTGTCAGGCACAATCTGTGTCATGTCTGGCACAAATTCTGGAATTACATCCAGGCTTGCCTGGTACACACCTACACCAATTAGGTGGGGGATAAAAAATGTCAGGTACTATATTAGCGGCTGAAATTTTGTTAGGTATAAACCATTAATTCTTGGCCTGCTGGCGGTATAATTAGTTAGAAAACTCAAATTCACTTATACAGCAAATGGCAAAAATGGTACATACATGTACATGTAGTAACAGCTGAGAAAATGAATCATTAGTTTCACTTTCAGATACACGTATAGCCCAAGAAAAACAGGATTAATCATCATTTTGTTATAGTACAATCATATAAAATAAAACTCGTATTTATATTTATAATATCCAACTTAGGAAGAGTCTGCAGCTGGTGTATCATACAACAACATAAATATATTTATGGACTGCAGGCTGAATCATTAAAATTATTTGTTGGTAAAATCAGTCAATACAGAGGATCGTTATAAGCTAGAGATTGTATTACATGAAACGATTTTTCTAATATTTATGAATACATGTACATATTACACTGTCACTGTACACAAAAATGTCGCATTGTAATAACATTGCATTATAATAACTTTATCTATTAAAACTGTGTCTACTTGAATAATGATATTAACCAAAATTTTATGAAACTTAAACATACATTATGCACTTGAGCTAAATCTGCCTTTTGCAAGTCTTTATTTAGGCTTCAGATGTTATATAGGAATTATTAATTAGACCTTTATTTACACGACAAGCTCAAAATCAACTCTGTAGATCCACGGATGGCATGGATACAGTTTGGATTTAAACAGTCGTCCATTTAAAATTTAATCATTAAATGGCGGATAAAGCTAATGTTTACCATTAGTCGCTGATGTCACTACCGGAAACTGGTGATGAAAGGCCTGCCAAGAGAGGCTACCCTAGCAAATGAGAATATGTGGGTGGAGTTATCGTCTGTCAATCTAACGATTACCAATTCTCACAGACGGTGCAGACACAACTGATGCCTATTTCTAGTCCAAATTTCCACCAGTGACAATTCCGTTCAGAACAGAGTAATTTGACTGAAATTTTCAACATTTTCTCTTTTTTTTATCATCTATTTTTGAATTATTATAGCAAGAATGTCCAACTCTTTATAAAACTCTTAACTAATGTATCTTTAATGCATGTCATAAGATTAGAGGGTAAGTCAGGATGTCACACATGTAAGAAAAGAGTCGCCCATCACATGCAGTTGCTGCACAAGACAAGAAATTCAAAGCACTTGGAAGAAAACTTATTGAGTGAAATTTAGCTACATGTATCTAAATGATCACATTTTTAATGAGCAAACAGGTAGGCCTACAGTAAGATCTGTTGGGACAACTCTGTCAATGCAAAGTACTTGTAACCTCCCAGCTGAAAATCAACAATCTGTTACCAGTATCGCTCTCTACTTCAGCCAGTAAGGATAACTTGTGTTTTCCTTTTTTGCGTCATTTCCTGATTCTTTAAATCATTGTTACCGATTAACTGTAGCAAAGACCTGTGAGTGGAATGTCTTTTAACCAGTTTTATCACATATTGTAATATTGGTGGACACCAACATTGTCCTTTAAATCCTCAAATCCCCACAGATGGATATCTGTAATAATATTATGGTGACAATTTACAAAATCTCACCTTTAAAGTCGATATCAATACCACTGAATTCGAGTTCAACACCCAATAGAGCCTCTCCAAGAGTTTCATGGTAATGGCCAATATTTTCTTTAGGACCGCGGCAAAACGGTAGGGAAAAATATTCGTAGGTTTCTTGACGGTTGTGATAAGGACCGACTGTATTCATCCACAGAACTACTTCTTCAGCATCAACGTACTGTAAATAAACAAAATAAAAAAACTTAGATTTGTGGAAAAAAATATTGATTCAGAATTTTTCAATTGCAATGTACGACATATCTAGTAGGCGAGTTGAGTTGCTTTAGAATCAAGCTCTTACGAACCGTCTAGGGGTTGACTCGACTTGGTCAGGCTTAACTGTCAAGTTTAAATACTTCTCTGTTCTGTCGACCTACATGTACATTCAAGTAATCGAAGAGTAAAATTTGCATTAAGTACTGCACGGTATGTGTATGAATTAGCCTTCCAGTTGCTAGACTACCTGAAACTTCCTATAAAAAAAATGTGATCCATATCAGATAACGATAGGGCTGATGCATGATACAACCAAGTTCTGTGTCGCAATTCGCTATCCAAAAATAAACCGATATTGTGTCGTTTAAATATCGTTTGAATGTCGTTTGTGTGGTATTAAGTTGCTTTCAAATAACACACTTGAATAGGGTTTTTTTGATTTCCGGTTAAGTATGACAGCAATGAAATTCGTTCAGTTGACCGAGAAAATACAATATACAAACAATGTCACGGTATCAAAAAATCAAATATACTGGCAACACTACGTACATAGCAACACATTGAAGTCGACACCGTCACTATATACCCAGTAATCAATAATCATTTAAAGTAAATCATAAAAATAAGCCTTCGAATTCTCACAGTCAAAGATTTGAACTTTGTTATTGAAAGAATGAAAGTAGAGAAGATTCCTGTGCCAAAGTTAATAATTATTATAATATATGTAAAATACAAGTACATGTATGTGATAAAGGGTTTATCACACACATTTAAAACTATGCACACCTTTGAAAAATGTCATAATATTATGTTTAAAGTAAAATTTAACAATTTTAAAATTTATTTCCTACATGTATACCGCGATATTAACCCTTTTACGCATCACTAACAAGGGGGAACCACACCGGAAAATCTGGATTAGCTTTCTCGGCCAATGCAGGGATCGAACACCTGACCTCCAGGCTAGCGAGCCAGCGTCTTACCCACTTAGCCAGCGTGACCCCCAGTAGCCAATCGAAATTAGTGCCGAAATGTGCAGGGCTTGTTATACAGAGTTAAAGAAAGATCAAGCCTTCTATTAAGATGCCTTTTACGGGGATAATGACATTAATGTTTTCTTACACACATGCCAAAGCAACAATGTACACCATTGGCTGTATGAGATAATTCTATTTTTATCAACTAACAGGTGAAAGGAATATTTGATCTAATTTGTAAGAACGGTAACTCTCATTGTCTTGCTTTGAAGCCGGATATTACTGTTACTAATCGATAACATAAACAGAGGGCTGGGGACTATCAACAGCATGACGTTTGCCACGAACACCCCTAAGCATCCTCGCCAGTATGCGTTCAATTTAAACAATGTGTTGTTAACTTGTTAAATATTTCTGATGAAGACAATTGGTCATCTAATAGTGATGAAGACAATTGGTCATCTAATAGTAATACTATAGTGACATTCATATTAATGAACTTCCTAAATTTATGAGTCTAGAAAGAATGAAATGTAAACAAAACAATGATGCACGGCAACAAACTTTAATGACAGTGACGTCAAACTGTCAGTATGCTCACTAGCACATCAAGTTGATAATAATGCTACAGAAGACCGATTAGAATTAGATAGAAGACATTTGGAGAGATAACTTGGATCTAGGCCTATAGGCAGAATGACAGGCCCCCAATTTTACTGCCGAATCTGGTCCTGTATGGATTCCTGAGACTAGTCACATGAGAGGCCTGTCAAGTATTTCTCAGTAGGCCTACACCTCAATTTACCTGTAGGCCCTATTTCCACCCATGATATTCAATTATGTTTGTTTTCAAATTTTTACTAAAATTAATAAAATTGTATTTATCTTGCTTTATAATTTTTACCTGGCCACACCTGTACAGTGTATTTACCTGGGTAAAATGGTTCTAATTACAAAGTTTTTGCATTTGCAGGTATTGTGGTGTCTTTTAAAAGCTTAAAGAGAGAGAGAGAGAAATGGAGTTTAACGTCCACTCGACACAAACTAGGTCATTTCGGGACTAACATATGGTTTAATTTTATTTCAATAATTCGCTTGAGCGTAGGGGTCTTTAGCAGTGGGGGGAAACCGGAAAAAGCTTAACCCTTAAAGTTAAAGGCATATATTATGTGAATATGTCTGACCAAGTTTCGTGATTTTTGATAGCTGCTATTAGCACATAGTTGCATTGATGATATAACGATTTTAGGTTTGATCTCGGGTGAAAATGGATGCACTAAAATAAATTCCCCACAGTGACAGTAGCTCAGCAGTTGGGGAAAATTGCCCCCTAAAAAAAGGGTTTGGCTAATCTTATCCCGAGGTATGAATCGTGATGCAAATCGTATCGTGACCTGGTGTATTATTGTACTAACCGAATTCTAAATAGAATGTATGAAGAAATGGCATTATGGATGGCATATTCGTTAACATAATTATAATATGTCATTTCGACATCGATGATTGACAAAGATTTTTGTAAAGCAAAAATGAATAGCCATTCATGTCTCTTAGACACCCTCTCTCAATCAACTATATATTTTACACATATCTAATTATTGATTCTAAATTTAAGATTCACTTTTGTATCACTGATATATGATCATTACTTCAAGACGGTAATCACCCTTGCCACATCATAATAAACAAGCTGGACGTCATAAATTTATCTCAAAATGAAATCTTCAGCGCAAGTCAACTTACTGTATGCGTGTGTTCATCGCCTCCTACTGTCTGGAACGACACTAAAAGAATAAAAAATATGCTTAAATGTTTCAAAAACATTTTGAAGTACGTTAGGATATACGATGTTCTTCTTGATGGGAGATAAATTCGGATTTAAAAGGTAACTTCAATCAAGAAATAAACAAATATGGCTGCCTCCATTGGCCACGTAGACCGATCTCAAGGGGGACAACTCCGATACACTTTCCAAAGGTAGCTCTATAGTGACATGTGTGGACAAGTTAATCGATCCCCCAAGCCGTGTTAATTACTAATTAGGTTTCCATAGCAATGGAGGGGTTCGGAAAAAAGATAATAAACTGTGCTTTATCTTTCTTGCTCTCCCTTCAGGGCCAAAGTTCACAACAGCGACCAAAAAGTAGGACTACAGTGAGAGACAGCGTTCAAATTCCCATTTTAAGACTTCAATCGACGTCCACATGATAATTAAGTACCGGTATCGTTATGTCAAAGAAGCAATAAGCATATGACTTCAAAAGATATGGTCGGACATATAATATACTCCTAAATAAAAAAAAAATCCACATTTGTAATTGTTATTCGTTCTCAACGGGTAAAAATATACGTACAATGTAGCCATATAAGTATCGGACCCGTTACGATAGCCGTCAGGTACGGGTTATTTTAACCTTTGTTTAACGACAAACAGAAGCGAGTAATAACGGAGGCGACAGCATCCAACCAACACGAAATCGTGTTTTGTAGATCATCAATTTTTCGGACAGTGGCAAAATGATGAAAAAAAAAAAAATTTATTGGATATTAAAGGAAAAATATGAAAATCAATCCATCCTGCAAAATGAAGTGCCTGAATTCCGTGACTTTTACTGACCATTGGGTTGGGTGATGCAATTCTCAACCGGAGTTCAGGGTTTCAGAAAATCACTCAATTCTGATTTTGATTCAGGGTGTCTAGTTCTCAAACTCAAACTGCAGTTCCAGAAAATTCGCTCCGCTACACGCTACTTGCCGTTATTTTTTCAAGGTAAAGTTATGTAGGTTCATTTTCTGGCCCTATTCCCAAAACGGACCCCGAATCGGAGAATTAAAGCGCTCCCCATTTGCTCGCGAAGAACATTGGGATAGCGCTAAACAAACAGGCGTGCGAAGCCCTGTCGCCGTTCTGGTTTCACTTTCACGCCAATCTAAGCTTATAAATGTATTGCATCAAAACGCCCATGTATACATTTAAATAGAATCACTGAATTGCACAGATAAACACCTAAATGAGCAGAAATATTGTCTCAGAGCTTCCCATTTTACAAAATCTAGGGTAGGACTAATCCCCCAGACGTGACGTAAACTTGCCATTGTCTCCACCCCGGACCCTACCCTGCAAAAATTCCTGGACGCGCTCATGATATACTGATGTCAGGATTGAGAGATAAGTTTTCTTACGTAGGTGACCAACTGTACAGCGGTGTGTGTGTGTGTGGGGGGGGGGGGCTTTCTCCACTCTAGTTCGAATTGTGATTGTCTCAAGGCCGATGGAAGTAATTCTTGATTTGAGAGCTACCATCCTAGGTTCTTAGGCGAGGGTCCAGGGGCCGCCCAGGCCCCGAAAGCTCTTGGGGTTCTAGATCGTTGGAGACGCTTTCTGAGTGATTTCTGGATAATAAAATTACTCAGCAATGAAGTAAAATTTGATTTCTTTTCTAACTCCCTTACCATGAAAACACAATCTATGGTGCTTTATTCCGGGATGCTGAACTTGGCAAATATATGCATAATAATACCAAGGCTGTGGACACTCCAGAGGTCACAATTTTTATCTGATTTTGATGAAACTTACAATATATGTTTATTATCGAAAGATCTCGGCTCCTTTCGATATTGGCGCATATAGGACCGTCACTTCCTGGATTATAGCCCCTAATTGTACGAACAATCACATTTTAGTTTGTGGACCCTGTAGTAATAACAGTTTTTATTTGATTGTAAAATCCGTTCAATATCAGGTCACAATTTTTATCCGATAATGACAAAACTTGACATATAGGTCTATCTCCGAAAGATCTCGGTTTCTTTCGAAATTGGCATGTGTCGGGCCGTAACTTCGTGGATATTGACCTCTGATTGTACGAAAAATCATGTTTTTATCTTAAGGACACTCAAGAGTCAAATTTTCACCCATGGAGTTAATGGATCGTTATCTTTAACGGAGAGAAAGTCTGTCGTTGGAAGCCCCGTTAACTTTAACATGTCGTTAACACGCCTTTGTATTTAACGGAGGTGTTGGCCTCCGTTATCTATTCAACGATGGCATTAGTCAGCTATCAGTCGAAGTATACCCTAAGCAAAAAGTCATAGATTACCAGTGTAATTTTCTATAGAACATTGTAGAGGGTTAGGCGATGGGAGTGAGGGTGCTATTTCATTTTCCAATAGGATGAAATTCTATAGTACTCTACAGGCCTGTAGGATATAATGGGCCCAAAATGTTCTACAGTTTCTGTATTGCAAATCCCACAATTTTTCCTACAGTAAGGAAAAAAATAAACTATTCTATAGTTTTTTTATAGTGTTTCCTGTAGTAAATTCTACAGTTATCTTTTTTTCTTTAGTTTTATGTTAACTTCTATGAAGTTGTTATACATGTACACTGAATTTTAAAATTTAAAATTCAGCCAATGAACAGTCATTTCTTGGATTAACTTTAATCAGTCCGTTAGCTAACGGATAATGAAATTGACTTTCCAGCAACAGAAATTTAACGGATCGTTAACAAACGACACGTTAGCAAGATAACGATCAGTTAGAGTTTAACGGATCGTTAAATTAACTGGGTTTTGAGCAACCGGTCTCTGGATTATAGCCCTGATTGTATGAAAAATTGCGTTTTTAGCTTGTGGTGCCTCTAGAGGTTACAATATTTATCCGATTTAAAAAGCGTTCAAATATATTACCGTTACACCATAATTACAGTTGAGTTTACATTTCGTGAAAATCGGACCGAGCTGCCCGACAAAATGGCCGCTCCCCTAAAAGCATGTAATACCAAGGTTAGATCTCAATATTAAGGCCACCTGCAGATTTTTCGAAGGTCTATTAACCCAGGGATCAGCATAAAGCATAGTAGGGGTTTCTTCTTCTAAACATCTACATTCTAGAAGTCTCACTTCTACTCACTTCTATATTAAAACCAAGCCTCTTTGTTTTAATAGAATAGTTACTTTCGTGCAATAACCTGGAGAAAAGAGAACTTGCGGCCAAATTATTGCGAACTTGCGGCCTGTTCGACACTGTAAAATTACAGTGAAAAATATGTAATTTCTTTAATACCACTGCATGTTTTTATACGCCCACATTTTCATGTGGACGTATATTGTCGTCGCCCCCGTCCGTCCGTCCAAAATTTGTTTGTGGACACTCTACAGGAGATAGGTTTATCTCCAAAAGATCTCGGCTGCTTTCGATATTGGCATGTATCGGATCGAAACTTCATGGATTATGGCCCCTGTTTGTACGAAAAATCACGTTTTTAGCTTGTGGACCCTATAGAGGTCACAATTTTTATCCGATTTTGTTGAAACTTGAAATGTAAGTTTATTGCCCCCGAAAGATCTCGGTTCCTTTCGATATTCGCGCATATCGGACCGCAACTTCCTGAATTATGGCCCCTGATTGTACGAAAAATCTCGTTTTTAGCTCGTGGACCCTATAGAGGTCACAATTTTTATCCGATTTAAAAAACCGTATTATTATATCACCGTTACACCTAAAGGATGGCTGAGTTCGAATTTCGTGAAAATCCGCCCAAAATTGACAGACAAAATGGCCGCCCTTCGTTCTCAAATAGCGTAAAAATATGGTATATCAAGGTTGTGGACCCTATAAAGGTCACAATTTTTATCCGATTTTGTTGAAACTTAAAATGTAAGTTTATAACCCAAAGATCTCGGTTCCTTTCGATATTCGCGCATATCGGACCGTAATTTCCTGAATTATGGCCCCTGATTGTACGAAAAATCTCGTTTTTAGCTTGTGGGCCCTACATAGGTCATAATTTTTATCCCATTTAAAAAAAAACAACGTATTATTATATCACTGTTACACCCTAAGGACGGTTGAGTTCGAATTTCGTGAAAATTGGCTCAAAACTGACAGACAAAATGGCCGCCGTTCGTTCTCAAATAGCGTAAAAATATGGTATATCAAGGTTGTGGACCCTATAAAGGTCACAATTTTTATCCGATTTTGTTGAAACTTAAAATGTAAGTTTATAACCCAAAGATCTCGGTTCCTGTCGATATTCGCGCATATCGGACCGTAACTTCCTGAATTATGGCCCCTGATTGTACGAAAAATCTCGTTTTTAGCTTGTGGGCCCTACAGAGGTCATAATTTTTATCCCATTTAAAAAAAAACAACGTATTATTATATCACTGTTACACCCTATAAGGACGGTTGAGTTCGAATTTCGTGAAAATTGGCTCAAAACTGACAGACAAAATGGCCGCCGTTCGTTCTCAAATAGCGTAAAAATATGGTATATCAAGGTTGTGGACCCTATAGAGGTCACAATTTTTATCCGATTTTGTTGAAACTTCAAATGTAAGTTTATAACCCAAAGATCTCGGTTCCTTTCGATATTCGCGCATATCGGACCGTAACTTCCTGAATTATGGCCTCTGTAAGAAAAATCGCGTTTTTAGCTTATGGACCCTATAGAGGTCATAATTTTTATCCGATTTAAAAAAAAAGCGTATTATTATATCACCGTTACACCCTAAGGTTGGCTGAGTTCGTATTTCGTGAAAATTGGCTCAAAATTGACAGACAAAATGGCCGCCCTTCGTTCTCAAATTGCGTAAAAATATGGTATATCAAGGTTGTGGACCCTATAGAGGTTACAATTTTTATCCGAATGTGTTTAAACTTGAAATGTAAGTTTATAACCCAAATATATCGATTCCTTTCGATATTCGCGCATATCGGACCGTAACTTCCTGAATTATGACCCCTGATTGTACGAAAAATCGCGTTTTTAACTTGTGGATTCTATAGAGGTCATAATTTTGTGGACCCTATAGAGGACACAATTCTTATCCGATTTTGTTGAAACTTGAAATGTAAGTTTATAACCCAAAGATCTCGGTTCCTTTCGATATTCGCGCATATCGGACCGTAACTTCCTGAATTATGGCCTCTGTAAG